ATATTGAATGTTGGGTATTTTGAAAAGCTCGAGCTGAACATGAAAATCATACGTCTGAATATATATTTTGCGCCATTCAGGCTGAGATGATGAAAGTCGGGTATTTTGAAAAGCTAGAGCTGAAAATGAAAATCAAACGTCTGAATATATATTTTGCGCCATTCAGGCTGAGATAATGAAAGTCGGGTATTTTGAAAAGCTAGAGCTGAATATGAAAATGATACGTCTGAATATATATTTTGCGCAATTCAGGCTGAGATAATGAAAGCCGGGTATTTTGAAAAGCTAGAGCTGAACATTATAATCAAACGTCTGAATGAATATTTTGCGCCTTTCCGGCTGAGATATTGATAGTTGGGTATTTTGAAAAGCTCGAGCTGAACATGAAAATCATACGTCTGAATATATATTTTGCGCCATTCAGGCTGAGATAATGAAAGTCGGGTATTTTGAAAAGCTAGAGCTGAACATTAAAATCATACGTCTGAATATATATTTTGCGCCATTCAGGCTGAGATAATGAAAGTCGGGTATTTTGAAAAGCTAGAGCTGAAAATGAAAATCAAACGTCTGAATATAAATTTTGCGCCATTCAGGCTGAGATAATGAAAGTCGGGTATTTTGAAAAGCTAGAGCTGAAAATGAAAATCATACGTTTGAATAAATATTTTGCGCCTTTGAGGCTGAGATAATGAAAGTCGGGTATTTTGAAAAGCTAGAGCTTAAATTGAAAAATATACGTCGGAATAAATATTTTTGCGCCTTTCAGGCTGAGATATTGAAAGTTGGGTAATTTGAAAAGCTAGAGCTGAACATGAAAATGATACGTCTGAATAAATATTTTGCGCCATTCAGGCTGAGATAATGAAAGTCGGGTATTTTGAAAAGCTAGAGCTGAACATTAAAATCATACGTCTGAATAAATATTTTGCGCCATTCAGGCTGAGATAATGAAAGTCGGGTATTTTGAAAAGCTAGAGCTGAACATTAAAATAATACGTCTGAATATATATTTTGCGCCTTTCAGGCTGAAATAATGAAAGTCGGGTATTTTGAAAAGCTAGAGCTGAAAATCATGCGTCGGAATAAATATTTTGGGCCTTTCAGGCTGAGATATTGAAAGTTGGGTATTTTGAAAAGCTAGAGCTGAAAATGAAAATCATACGTTTGAATAAATATTTTGCGCCTTTGAGGCTGAGATAATGAAAAGCGGGTATTTTGAAAAGCTAGAGCTGAAAATGAAAAATATACGTTTGAATAAATATTTTGCGCCTTTGAGGCTGAGATAATGAAAGTCGGGTATTTTGAAAAGCTAGAGCTGAAAATGAAAAATATACGTTTGAATAAATATTTTGCGCCTTTGAGGCTGAGATAATGAAAGTCGGGTATTTTGAAAAGCTAGAGCTGAAAATGAAAAATATACGTCGGAATAAATATTTTGCGCCTTTCAGGCTGAGATATTGAAAGTTGGGTAATTTGAAAAGCTAGAGCTGAACATGAAAATGATACGTCTGAATAAATATTTTGCGCCATTCAGGCTGAGATAATAAAAGAGTCGGGTATTTTGAAAAGCTAGAGCTGAACATGAAAATCATACGTCTGAATATTTATTTTGCGCCTTTGAGGCTGAGATAATGAAAGTCTGGTATTTTGAAATGCTAGAGCTGAAAATGAAAATCAAACGTCTGAATAAATATTTTGCGCCTATGAGGCTGAGATAATGAAAGTCAGGTATTTTGAAAAGCTAGAGCTGAACATTAAAATAATACGTCTGAATATATATTTTGCGCCTTTCAGGCTGAGATAATGAAAGTCGGGTATTTTGAAAAGCTAGAGCAGAAAATGAAAATCATACGTCTGAATGAATATTTTGCGCCTTTCCGGCTGAGATATTGAAAGTTGGGTATTTTGAAAAGCTCGAGCTGAACATGAAAATCATACGTCTGAATAAATATTTTGCGCCTTTGAGGCTGAGATAATGAAAGTCGGGTATTTTGAAAAGCTAGAGCTGAACATTAAAATAATACGTCTGAATATATTTTTTGCGCCTTTCAGGCTGAGATAATGAAAGTCGAGTATTATGAAAAGCTAGAGCTGAATATTAAAATCATACGTCTGAATAAATATTTTGCGCCTTTGAGGCTGAGATAATGAAAGTCGGGTATTTTGAAAAGCTAGAGCTGAAAATGAAAATCAAACGTCTGAATAAATATTTTGTGCCTTTCAGGCTGAGATATTGAATGTTGGGTATTTTGAAAAGCTAGAGCTGAAAATGAATATCATACGTCTGAATGAATATTTTGCGCCTTTCAGGCTGAGATAATGAAAGTCGGGTATTTTGAAAAGCTAGAGCTGAAAATGAAAATCAAACGTCTGAATAAATATTTTGCGCCTTTCCGGCTGAGATAATGAAAGTCAGGTATTTTGAAAAGCTAGAGCTGAAAATGAAAATCATACGTCTGAATGAATATTTTGCGCCTTTGAGACTGAGATAACGAAAGTCGGGGATTTTGAAAAGCTAGAGCTGAAAATGAAAATCAAACGTCTGAATAAATATTTTGCGCCTTTCCGGCTGAGATATTGAATGTTGGGTATTTTGAAAAGCTAGAGCTGAAAATGAAAATCAAACGTCTGAATAAATATTTTGTGCCTTTCAGGCTGAGATAATGAAATTCGGGTATTTTGAAAAGCTAGAGCTGAACATGAAAATCATACGTCTGAATAAATATTTTGCGCCATTCAGGCTGAGAAAATGAAAGTCGGGTATTTTGAAAGGCTAGAGCTGAAAATGAAAATCATACGTCTGAATAAATATTTTGCGCCATTCAGGCTGAGAAAATGAAAGTCGGGTATTTTGAAAAGCTAGAGCTGAATATTAAAAACATACGTCTGAATAAATATTTTGCGCCTTTGAGGCTGAGATAATGAAAGTCAGGTTTTTTGAAAAGCTAGAGCAGAAAATGAAAATCATACGTCTGAATGAATATTTTGCGCCTTTCCGGCTGAGATATTGATAGTTGGGTATTTTGAAAAGCTCGAGCTGAACATGAAAATCATACGTCTGAATATATATTTTGCGCCATTCAGGCTGAGATAATGAAAGTCGGGTATTTAGAAAAGCTAGAGCTGAACATTAAAATCATACGTCTGAATATATATTTTGCGCCATTCAGGCTGAGATAATGAAAGTCGGGTATTTTGAAAAGCTAGAGCTGAAAATGAAAATCAAACGTCTGAATATATATTTTGCGCCATTCAGGCTGAGATAATGAAAGTCGGGTATTTATAAAAGCTAGAGCTGAACATGAAAATCATACGTTTGAATAAATATTTTGCGCCTTTGAGGCTGAGATAATGAAAGTCGGGTATTTTTAAAAGCTAGAGCTGAAAATGAAAAATATACGTCGGAATAAATATTTTTCGCCTTTCAGGCTGAGATATTGAAAGTTGGGTAATTTGAAAAGCTAGAGCTGAACATGAAAATGATACGTCTGAATAAATATTTTGCGCCATTCAGGCTGAGATAATGAAAGTCGGGTATTTTGAAAAGCTAGAGCTGAACATTAATATCATACGTCTGAATATATATTTTGCGCTATTCAGGCTGAGATAATGAAAGTCGAGTATTATGAAAAGCTAGAGCTGAATATTAAAATCTTACGTCTGAATAAATATTTTGCGCCTTTCAGGCTGAGATATTGAATGTTGGGTATTTTGAAAAGCTAGAGCTGAAAATGAATATCATACGTCTGAATGAATATTTTGCGCCTACAGGCTGAGATAATGAAAGTCGGGTATTTTGAAAAGCTAGAGCTGAAAATGAAAATCAAACGTCTGAATAAATATTTTGCGCCTTTCCGGCTGAGATAATGAAAGTCAGGTATTTTGAAAAGCTAGAGCTGAAAATGAAAATCATACGTCTGAATGAATATTTTGCGCCTTTGTGACTGAGATAACGAAAGTCGGGGATTTTGAAAAGCTAGAGCTGAAAATGAAAATCAAATGTCTGAATAAATATTTTGCGCCTTTCCGGCTGAGATATTGAATGTTGGGTATTTTGAAAAGCTAGAGCTGAAAATGAAAATCAAAGGTCTGAATAAATATTTTGTGCCTTTCAGGCTGAGATAATGAAATTCGGGTATTTTGAAAAGCTAGAGCTGAACATGAAAATCATACGTCTGAATAAATATTTTGCGCCATTCAGGCTGAGAAAATGAAAGTCGGGTATTTTGAAAGGCTAGAGCTGAAAATGAAAATCATACGTCTGAATAAATATTTTGCGCCATTCAGGCTGAGAAAATGAAAGTCGGGTATTTTGAAAAGCTAGAGCTGAATATTAAAAACATATGTCTGAATAAATATTTTGCGCCTTTGAGGCTGAGATAATGAAAGTCGGGTTTTTTTGAAAAGCTAGAGCAGAAAATGAAAATAATACGTCTGAATGAATATTTTGCGCCTTTCCGGCTGAGATATTGATAGTTGGGTATTTTGAAAAGCTCGAGCTGAACATGAAAATCATACGTCTGAATATATATTTTGCGCCATTCAGGCTGAGATGATGAAAGTCGGGTATTTTGAAAAGCTAGAGCTGAAAATGAAAATCAAACGTCTGAATATATATTTTGCGCCATTCAGGCTGAGATAATGAAAGTCGGGTATTTTGAAAAGCTAGAGCTGAATATGAAAATGATACGTCTGAATATATATTTTGCGCAATTCAGGCTGAGATAATGAAAGCCGGGTATTTTGAAAAGCTAGAGCTGAACATTATAATCAAACGTCTGAATGAATATTTTGCGCCTTTGAGGCTGAGATAATGAAAGTCGGGTATTTGAAAAGCTAGAGCTGAAAATGAAAATCATACGTCAAATAATTTTTCTTCACCATAATTTGGAGCATAAAGTTTATCATAATATGAAAATAATTTAAATTCAATTCTAGCGGCTGTTCCTTCGGAATTCCGACGGTAGATGCTGCTTAGCTGGAGATCACGAACGCCGCACTGCGCGGTGCCGCTCAAGTTGAGATCGCTCATGTGTGCATTGAACCTAAAAAAACACAACTCGACGAGCGGCTAAAAAAGCCAAAAATCATCTCTGCAACGACCAGGACTGCAATGGAAGTTTTATCCAAGCAAAATCCACTTTTCACGCTCTACTCTTGTCATGCAGCGCTGCTGGTTTGCAAAATCATCTTTGTCGGCTTCTCGACGTCCATGGTTCGAGTTTTCAAAAAGGTTTTTGTTTTAATTTGATGAGAAACCAAATTGCGAAATTTATTTCATATAAATTCAGGTAACACCTAATCCAGAGGATGCCAAATTTATGGGCACAAAACCTTTTATTGGAGACCCGACAATTGAGAGAATTAGAAGGTACTTTATTTTTTTTTTTTCATTATAATTTAAAATAAAGGTAATGTTATAGTACGCGCGACGTGTTTCCCAAAATCCCTGATTTCAGTTGGCATCACTTGCATTACGTCGCGCGTTTAATAGTGGTTTTACGTCGCGCAAACAATAATGGTTTTACGTCGCGCGCTCAATACTGGTGGCGGTGAAATTGTAAAGGAAACCGATTATTCGCGCGACGCAATTCTTTTCCTACAATCTTAATTAAGGGGACTGCTAGGAAGAATCGGGGCCCTTAAAATGGGTTCAGAATGGAGCAAGACGACCTCTGGAGGGCCGTGCGCACCATTATAGCAGGCGCGACGTATCACTATGAGACGCGCGACGGTCGAAAAGCGAACTCCGGAGGGCGCTTTTCACCATCGTCAGAGGCGCGACGCATGGTTATAGTACGCGCGACGTATGCTTATAGAACGCGCGACGAATGCTTATAGTACGCGCGACGCACGGTTATAGTACGCGCGACGCATGCTTATAGTATGCGCGACGCATGCTTATAGGAGGCGCGACGCACGACTAATTAATTATTATAAAAGGTGTTGCACGCGGCCGGAGTTGTGGGCACCCCACGAACCGGCAACTCGGAGTTCGGCAACCCCCAAGATTAATTATTGCAGAAGCCGCGAGCGAGGGCTGGAGGCGCAGCGAGGTTGAGGACGTGGGGAAAGCCGTGCGGAGGGCGAGGACAAAAGGGCGGCTGTGTTCGTGGGGGGCTCCGCAGGAGCCCCCCCACGATCCCCGCCCTTTTTTCCCGCCCGGAGCCGGCCTTCACCACGTTCTCGGGCGAGCGCGCCTCCAGCCCGAAGCTCGCAAACCCACAAAAGGTGTTGTCAGCAAAGGGAGTTGTGGGCACCACACTTTTTGATTTCTAAGCCCTTTTTGCAGACAACACTTTTTGTGGGCAACTCCGTTGTGGGTTTGCGAGCTTCGGGCTGGAGGCGCGCTCGCCCGAGAACGTGGTGAAGGCCGGCTCCGGGCGGGACAAAAGGGCGGGGTTCGTGAGGGGGCTCCTGCGGAGCCCCCTCATGAACACAGCCGCCCTTTTGTCCTCGCCCTCCGCACGGCCTTCCCCACGTCCTCGACCTCGCTGCGCCTCCACCCCTCGCTCGCGGCTTCTGCAAAAATTAATCTTGGGGGTTGCCCACCTCCGAGTTGCCGGTTCGTGGGGTGCCCACAACTCCGGCCGCGTGCAACACCTTTCAATTAATTTGCCGCGCGTCGCGCCTCCTATAATCGTGCGTCGCGCGTACTATAAGCATGCGTCGCGCGTACTATAAGCATGCGTCGCGCGTACTATAAGCATGCGTCGCGCGTACTATAAGCATGCGTCGCGCGTACTATAAGCATGCGTCGCGCGTCCTATAAGCATGCGTCGCGCCTCTGACGATGGTGAAAAGCGCCCTCCGGAGTTCGCTTTTCGACCGTCGCGCGTCCCATAGTGATACGTCGCGCCTGCTATAAGGGTGCGCACGGCCCTCCAGAGGTCGTCTTGCCCCATTCTGAACCCATCCCAAGGGCCCCTATTCTTCCTAGCAGTCCCCTACATTAAGATTGTAGGAAAAGAATTGCGTCGCGCGTGCTATAGAGGTTTCCATGGTAATCGGGATATTAAATCGGTTTCCTTAAAAATTACACCGCTACCAGTATTGTACGCGCGACGTAAAACCATTATTGTATGCGCGACGTAAAACCACTATCGAACGCGCGACGTGATACTTTTACATGGGAGCATAAGTGCTGCCAACTTATGAAAAAACACGTCGCGCGTACTATAACATTACCAAAATAAAAATTAAAATATTTTCAGGGCGCATCGGAATGATTTGGAGAACATTCCGGCCTTTCTGTTCGTATCGTTCCTCTATGTGCTGACAAATCCAAGCTACGTGGTGGCGAAGATTTTGTTTTGGAGTTTTACGATTGCGAGGTATTCGCACACCCTCGTCTACGCGTACCTCCCCATCCCTCAGCCCGCCAGAGCGCTGTCCTTCGCGGTCGGTTTAATCGCAACCTTTATTATGGCAATCCAAGTGCTATTCTATTTTTACTGAATTATATTATAGAAGAAATTTGAGAACAGAAAAGTTTTTACTTATTATTTAAATTATTTATTTTTTGTTATTTAAATAATTGAATTTGTCTTTGTGTGGGACGTAAAGAATTCCGAAATAATGTTTGTTTGTACCGAATAAAAATATATTCACTTTCACAACCAAATTTAGAGTTATTTGTCATTAATTTATACGATTGGAAATATTGAAATAAGAAAAATTGTTTATTTTTAGTCAATTTAGTATAATTAATAGGAGCGCCTGGAGCGCGGCAACCCGCTATGATTGATAGGACGGCTGAAGGTCACGGTCGGTGCGAGTGGTGTGGAGTGACTGGCAGCTTTTTTTACTTTGATAAGCACGCCCATCCCATTCTTTGTGGAGAGTCGCAGCTGAACGAAGCATCTGCTCGCCTCAGCGTTTTCCTTCTTCGCTCGCTCGCGACGTTGATTTTGTTTATTTTGCAACCGAAATGGGCTTCGATTTGTCGCGGGACAACCCGCTTTTCGCCCTTTACGCCGTCCACGCCACGATTCTGGTTTTGAAAATGTTCCTCGTCACCTTCCTCACGGGCCGACAAAGGTTCTCAAAGAAGGTTCGTTCACTCTCTTATCTATAGAAATCCTCAAATCTTTATCACTAATTCTCTTGTATTAATTTAAAAAAAAATTGAACACGTGGAAGTTATAAAAGCGGCAGTTAATTATTTTAATAATTTACTGTTGGGAATTATTTTAGGCTTTCGCCAACCCTGAGGATGTCAAGGGAAAGGCGGCAAAGGTCAAACTGGATGATCCTGATGTTGAGAGAGTTAGAAGGTAAAATGATAAGTATTTTTTTTTTTAATTTACTCCACACAATAAGTAAATTAATTTATTACAGTTAAGAAATAAAAATTGTCATTTTAAACTATAAAATAATATGAACAATTTATTTAAGTAAAGAGAAGTTTGAAAGATTTTTTTTTTTAAATTTATAATGTTTTTTATCAGGGCGCATTTGAATGATTTGGAGAACATTCCGGCCTTCCTGTTCGTCTCCTTCCTGTACGTGTTGACCAGCCCCGACCTGGGCCTGGCCACCAACCTCTTCAGGGCTTTCACCATCGCCAGAATCGTCCACACTTTTGTGTACGCAGTGAAACCCCTGCCGCAGCCATCGAGGGCTCTCGCTTTCGGCGTCGGCCTCATCACCACCGCCTACATGGCTCTTCGCGTTCTTCTCTACTTTTGGTAAAATTTATCATATGTGCCAAATTATGAGAATTGGGATCGTGCATTTTCACTCTATTGAAGAAAAAAAAAATACATTTGCACAAACAATAATAATAATTGATTTTGTTACATATAAATTTATTTCAATTAAGAGAAAACTACTCCTTTACAAATTAGTGGATGGAAGGGAGAATTGCAAGTAGTTGGAAATCAACTTTTCAAAAGCATCGATTTCCTCTTGGGCCTTCTTCCGGACGGGCTCTTTTTTTTGATGGCCGTCCACGACGTGGTGCCTTTTTTCCGGAAAATAAATCGGCGTTCGGACCACAGGCGACTTTTCTCGGAAGCGTTTTTTCGAGTTGGGCGGCGAGCTGAGGAAAAGTTTGTCGGGCCGTCGGGCCACATTCAGGGTCCCTGGCCTGCTCTCTGGTTCTCTCTCGAAGGCGTTTCGCGGCTCGGCGGACAGAGAGCGCACGTGGCTCGAATTTTGGTTGGCGGTGCCGACGACGGTGCCTCGCCGCTGCTGCGCCTTCATCGCTGCGTTCCGAACTACCTGAGCAAAATTAAGACAATTATCAATTTCAATGCGTAGCACTGAAATCAGAACCTTTTCCTAAAAGATGAATGTAAATTTCAGACCTATTGATTTTATATTTTTCCATATTTTTGAGTGTTTTGAACGTGAGTTGGTATCAATTTTGTTCCGGCCAATTGTGAGGAAAACATTTTTACAGAAAGTAATTCTCATAAAAGCAAACCAAGTTAAAGTTCAAAAATTCAATTCTCCCAATGAATTCAATTTTTCTCGGTACTGAAATCTTCAATCCAAAGCAATGTAGAGAAAAATTACAACTAAAATTAATCGGGTCTTTTTTCCAGTAAAATCCTCTCCTAATAAAGTAAAAAAAAAACGGTATGATTATTTTGATGATATTTTTTTTTAGCTGTCATCATTGGAAAATTTTATTCATTGGGAGAACTTGAATGTTTGAATATTTCAATTGTTTGTCATCATAATGTTCTGAATTTTAATCTTTTTAAATTGCCTTCAGTTAAAATTGATAAAAATGTCACAAAACTAAGTTCAATTCAACTCACTCAAAGTTGGTAAAATCAATTAAATAGCTGTAGTTTGGCATAAAATTAATTTTTATTAATCTTATGCCAAACATTTGTCTCACTGCATAATAATTTGATATGATTGTGTCAGTCAAAAGAGTTAACCTGTTGGTCTTGATCCAAATAGCCCATGTCGAAAATCGAGTCTTGAGATCGACTCCTTCTGCGGGACGAAATGCGAATCGTGTTGAGGAAATTTTGGAAAAACATTCGCGAGCCGCTCAAGGAGAGCGATTTTCGCAATTTCGCTCTTCTCGGAACCACTTCTTTCGGCGACGATGGTTCGCTCGCCAATTCGGGCGTTGAGCTGACGAGAAAGTGGTCACTTCGCAGCAACGGCGGCGGCGGAGGAGCTTGTCGCTTTAATTTTATCCTTGCGTACCTTTCTGCGCAAATGAAGTGGTATCACAACATTTGAAATGTGATAATTATTATACCGGTGAAAAGATCTTTTTTTACAAAAGAAATGTCTTTTCTTAATCAATATTAATATTAAAAGTGACAGATTTATTCTATTTCCATATTCATTTTGATAAACACGGCACTGATATTGGTACAAAATTAAATTTCTTCCAAAAAAATCTTGGGTTTTAATACAGATCGAGTTAATTTGAATCAACTTATAATTATGGAAAAAAAACAGTAATGTCAAGTAAACAATGTTGCAAATAAATAATAACAAAAAAAAGTCTCAGCATTTTAAAAACATTTTAAGATTTCATTTTCCGGAGTCAATTTCAAATGGAATTTCAAATTGAAAATACAAAGGCTCTTTACATCAGCGTAATAATTGACGAATTTCGCAATTACCTCTACTGGCCAAACCTCTTTCCGCCTCATCTTTCAAAGAAACCAACAACTCGTCAAGAATTTGACGCTGACTTTTGGGAACGGTGTTGTCCACTTTCCTCTGCGTGGCGATTCTCTGTTGAAGAGATTTTTTTAGACTTCAATTGCCTCGGCAGTCAAGCAAAAATTATTAAACCTTCTGCAAATCAACGTTTCTCTTTTTGAGCACCGACACGTCCAAGTTGTTCTGCTCGTGACGCTGGCCATTATTTAGATTCCGCGTCGTGCTTTCAAGAAAATCACTCTTTTTTAAAAATAATTACAAAACAATTAAATTTAAAATACCTTCTGGAGCGGTGATTTTGTCCCGAAGGAGGCTTGTGGTGTGACATTTTTTTCCCAATTTAACAAGTATGTGTTTATGGTTGGGCTTATCAGGGCCGCAATATCAGTCCGTATCTCCACTAATGATGTCACCAGATCAATAATCTTTGCTTTTTTCTTGAACGCTTTGGTGCTGACAATTCTTCGACGATACCACAGCGCGAGTGACTAAACCGTTTTCTTGCTTTGTTGCTCGACGCCTTTCCGCTTCTTTTGCCATAATTATGGACATGCACCTATTTCTGCATATTCGGCGCGTCTGCGAAAGTCTGCCTCGCGTGACCGGCATTTCCAATCAATATACTCGAAGGAACAAGTGAATAATGAGAAAAAAATATTTATTTAAAATTATAACTTATCATTTAATTATATTAATGGTATACTGAAAAATATTTCATACATATTAGACTAAAAAATATTCACATTTTGATTATAAAACAACCAGCAGACAATTTCTTCAAGGTACATTCAAATTTGGGCAGTCAAATCTAAGAAAGAACATTACAAAATAGGAAACAATAGAGACCAATGAGCATATAATCAATAATTTCAACTTTTTGCGCCACAGTAACTGAAAATTCACTGCACTTAAAACGGTGCAAATATATATTGTTTGTGATATATTTCTGCAGAAATAATAATAAGTTAAGCGATTTGGTCTTTGTCCGCGTCTTTGACCGGCGCACTCATCACCAGCAGCGGTTTGGACAGGGCCATGACCGGCGGCGAGTTGTTTTGCCGTCGGGCGGGTCCGGCAAAATATTCCTCGACCTGGGCCAGCGTTTTTCCGTGCGTCTCCGGAAGCCAAATTATGACGAAGATCGTGGCCAAAAACGAGACGATTCCGTAAACTAGGAAGACGCCGTAGGCGTTGAGCATGTGCTGCATTCCGGGGTAAGCCTTGAGCACCGCGAATCCGATCAAATAGGCGAAACACGTGGTCAGCCCGCCGCCCACGCCCCGCAGCTCCGAAGGGAACACCTCGCCGACCATCACCCACGGCAGGGTCAGGAAACCGATGGTCGAAGTGAAAATGTAGCCGATGACGGCCACGGCTGGCCACCAACTCAGCGGCGTCGGCGTCATCCCCTCTGCGAAAAGGAAAACATCATTTTAGTTATAATTTCTGGAAGCCAAATTATGGAAAACTTTCATAAAAAGAGGTTTTAAATTAATTAGGCTGGAAAATTAAAAGCATTTTGGGGCCGATCACGAATAATTGGCCCCTAATTGTTACGAACTTATGTGTGGCCGCGATCATCACAGTTTTCACATATGTTATTGGGGTCAATGAGAGGAGTCTCTGACTAAATTTTGAATTAAAAATTTTGAGTACTTTTTGAAAAATCCGGGTTTTTTGAAAAACACAAAATTGCGTTTATCTTTGTTCCTATTGAGTTTAGGGCGATGCGGTTTCCACCATAGTAGGTAACTTTTTATTTTGAACAACTTTTCTGTAGATCAAAATGTTCTAGGTCAAAGGTCAAGGTCACTAAAATGCATTTTTAGTTTTCAAGGCCATTTTTCTCAAAGAAGTATACCTCGGATTTTTTTCGTGGTATAGGAAAAAATGTAGCCCATCTGATTCTTCATCTGCTCTGTGAAATTCAGAATGGCGTTATTTTTAGTTTTAAAGATATGTAAATAAGTATTTAAAAAAGCATCTTCGATATTGAAAATTTATGGTCGAGAGCGCTTTTTTCGAATTCTTATTTTTCTACCTTTAAAACTAAAAATAAGGCCATTCTGAATTTCACAGAGCAGATGAAGAATCAGATGGGCTACATTTTTTCCTATACCACGAAAAAAATCCGAGGTATACTTCTTTGAGAAAAATGGCCTTGAAAACTAAAAATGCATTTTAGTGACCTTGACCTTTGACCTACGTCATTTTGGTCAATTGAAAAGTTGTTCAGAATAAAAAATTAGAGTGGATAGTGAAAACCGCATTGTTTTAATCACATTATTTTTTTCAAAACTATTAAAATTCAGAATAACGCGTTTTGCCGAGAACGTATCTTTTTAAATTATAATAAAAATATCTTTAAAACTAAAAAATAGGCCATCGAGATTTTTACTGAACAGATGTAAAATTTAACGGGCTACATTTTTTTCTATACCACGGAAAAAATCCAAGGTATGCTTCTTTGAGAAAAATTGCTTTAAAAAATTAAAATGCATTTTAGTGACCTTGACCTTTGACCTACGTCATTTTGGTCAATTGAAAAGTTGTTCAGAATAAAAAATTAGAGTGGATAGTGAAAACCGCATTGTTTTAATCACATTATTTTTTTCAAAACTATTAAAATTCAGAATAACGCGTTTTGCCGAGAACGTATCTTTTTAAATTATAATAAAAATATCTTTAAAACTAAAAAATAGGCCATCGAGATTTTTACTGAACAGATGTAAAATTTAACGGGCTACATTTTTTTCTATACCACGGAAAAAATCCAAGGTATGCTTCTTTGAGAAAAATTGCTTTAAAAAATTAAAATGCATTTTAGTGACCTTGACCTTTGACCTACGTCATTTTGGTCAATTGAAAAGTTGTTCAGAATAAAAAATTAGAGTGGATAGTGAAAACCGCATTGTTTTAATCACATTATTTTTTTCAAAACTATTAAAATTCAGAATAACGCGTTTTGCCGAGAACGTATCTTTTTAAATTATAATAAAAATATCTTTAAAACTAAAAAATAGGCCATCGAGATTTTTACTGAACAGATGTAAAATTTAACGGGCTACATTTTTTTCTATACCACGGAAAAAATCCAAGGTATGCTTCTTTGAGAAAAATTGCTTTAAAAAATTAAAATGCATTTTAGTGACCTTGACCTTTGACCTACGTCATTTTGGTCAATTGAAAAGTTGTTCAGAATAAAAAATTAGAGTGAATAGTGAAAACCGCATTGTTTTAATCTCATTATTTATATCAAAACTGTCACAATTCAAAATAACGTGTTTTGCCGAGAACGCGTCTTTTTAATTTATAGTTAAAATATCTTAAAAACTAAAAATAAGGCCATCGAGATTTTTACTGACCAGATGCAAAATTTAATGGGCTACATTTTTTCCTATACCACGGAAAAAATCCAAGGTATGCTTCTTTGAGAAAAATTGCTTTAAAAAATTAAAATGCATTTTAGTGACCTTGACCTTTGACCTAGAACATTTTGATCTACAGAAAAGTTGTTCAAAATAAAAAGTTACCTACTATGGTGGAAACCGCATCGCCCTAAACTCAATAGGAACAAAGATAAACGCAATTTTGTGTTTTTCAAAAAACCCGGATTTTTCAAAAAGTACTCAAAATTTTTAATTCAAAATTTAGTCAGAGACTCCTCTCATTGACCCCAATAACATATGTGAAAACTGTGATGATCGCGGCCACACATAAGTTCGTAACAATTAGGGGTCAATTATTCGTGATCGGTCCCTTTTGCAATATTCTTGCCAGTCTGAATTTTTCACCATTGAGGACATTGAGGTAAAATAAAAAAAATATTTTTGATTTTTTGTAGTAATTTTTCTATTTCTTGCACAGACATGAGATTAACGCCCCTCGATAGGAAATTTAATAGGCTTTGAAAATCTTACAAATTTAATCAAATTTGGCCAATTTTTGGTGACAAAGATTTTGATTATCCAAAAGAATCTTGATATTTTGTCATTTTTTATTAGTTTTTTAGCCCGAGCTCTTTTGTAAGACATTTCAGAACAAAATAATTCAAACAAAACTTGTAGAAAATTTAATTGCGCACACTTTTTGTATAATCATTTTCTTCTAAATCCAAAGCGACAAAAGTTATAAAAGCGGAAAGGTTAAAAAATGAGGTTTTCTGCTCAATGGGTGAAAATCAAACAAATACCTCATTTTTTTAACCTTTAAGCTATTGTAGCTTTTGTCGCTTTGGATGTAGAAAAAAAATGTTAAATACAAAAATTGTGCAAAATTAAATTGTCTACAAATTTTGTTTGAAACGTTTTTCTCTAAAATCTTTTCCAGAAGAGCTAGAGCCAAAAAACCAATAAAAAATGACTTTAAAACTTACTTTTGTCGAAACAATCTGAATTTTTGGAGCTTAAAATTGTCCAATTTAAGCAACGTTGGTCATGTTTTGAAAGCTAATTAAATTTCCTATCAATTGGCGTTGGTTTCATGTTTGTAAGAGAAATAGAAAAATTACTGCAAAAAATCCAGCACAATCAAACTTTTTCCCATCAAAAGGATAACGTGAAATTTCAAATAGTTCCATTAATTAGCTTATTTTTTTTTAATTTGAAATTACCTGTGAAGTACAAATGAGCGCCCAACAGAACCATGCAGAAGGTCATTCCGACGCCAGAAATGATGCCCATGGGTCTGCGGCCGTACCGCCTCATGGCTATGCTGACTCCGCCGGTGGCAATCAATCTGGCCACCCCGATGAACACCGTCGCCAAATACTTGTCCATCGTGACGCCCGCCTCCTGCACCACGTCCACCGCGTAAAAGATGACCACGTAAATGCCTGAAAATTTCAAATAAACACCGAATTCCTTCAATTAGTTTTAAAATTCGTACCTGAGAATTGTTGGAAGGCGAAGAAAACGTTCAAAATGAGCAGCGGCTTCCAGAACTCGGGTTTGCGGAAGGACCTGGACAAATTTCGCCAGCCCGCCTTGGGTCCCTTGGCCCTTTGCTCCTGCGCCCTGACAAGCTCCTCAAACTCGGCCCTGACGGCAGCTCCGCCGCCGCCTCTCAGGGCGATCAGCGACCTTTCGGCCTGCGAGGCTTTCGAGCGGCTCAGCAGCCAGGACGGGCTGTCGGGCATGATTATTGCGGCGACGAACGCCAAAAGTGCGGGGACCGCGCCAGCCCACGCTGCGTACCTCCAAGGAAGTGCCGATCCTGAAGAAAATTTAATCATTAGTATTTCTATTAATTGTTCAATTAAAATAATTTAAAAAAAAAATAATTAAAATGCATACCTAAAATATAGACTATGAGTATTCCTAGGGCTATGCTGATGGAGTTCCAGCAAATGAGGAAGCCCCTCATCGCGGGCTTGACCACCTCGGCGAGGTAGACGTTGGTGACGGCGCTGGCCAGGCCGATCGCGAGCCCCGTGCAAATCCTGCCCACGAACAGGCCCCACAGGGTGTTGGAGGTGGCGAGGAAGACCCAGCCGACCATGCACGGCACGTTCAGCAGAACCAACGTGAACTTTCGGCCCACCCTTTCCAGCGTCCACGCCGACAACAAACAGCCCACGGGCGTCGCGATGTTGGAAATGCTCGCTGCCAAAACAAACACATAAGAATTTTTATTTAATATTAATAATTTCTCTTGGCAGTGGGAACAAAATTTACGCAAGATTTATAACGGCAGGGCGCTTATCTCATCGATATATGTGGAAACTGGTTGGAGGTGCAATTACCCTGACGCTAAGTGTATGCACGACGAATAAATTGCACTCAACGAGTTTCTTTGGAAAGAAAAATAATAATCATGCCACACGTACAGCTTCCAGTTACACACGCGCGCGGAGAAGAAATTACACTGCAAGCAGTTGCCAAGCAAAATTTATGCATACTTGATAAACAAATATTTTCTCAAGACATCGAGTTGCAACTGCAAATAAGGTGCACTCGCCTCTGCACCAACCAGTTCATATAAAGAGACAAGTTTAGCTTGTTTTCTTGCTTATATATTCAATTTGGTCGGTGATTCCTATTGAAATTTAATATTAACAATCTGCCGAGGATATTTCAATTAAAAAGAATTCACATTGCCTTAAAAGTGTCAAACAAAATAGCAGCGTTTTTTCAGCTCTTTTATAGCACAAAATTTATATCTCGCACAAATTGAATTTTGATAAAATGCAAGTTTTCCTATGAAATTTAAAACAAATACTTGTTAAAATTGTAGGCTTACTTTATTCTATGCACAAAATTCCACCTCGGTGTTTACAAAAATAAAAATATTGTCAGATTGATTTTTTTCAATGATTGGATCGAAAAAAGCCTGCAGGAAGATGCGTGAAATTTTCTTGAAAACCTGAATTGATTTTGAATAAATTGAGTTTCTCACCAAACCACGATGCTATGTTTTCATTGAATGGATCAATTTTATTTGGTATTCCTTCGACTGTTAACTGAGGAAGAGCGACGGCTGAGAATCCGAGAGCCATGCCAGGTGATAACATTGACAGAGACGCGCCTAAGGTGACCAGAATCTAGAATAAGAGATAAAATTTCAGTCCCCTTCATAATCAAGAATGGTATATAATTAATCATTTTCTTAATTAGATTTTTTTAGCAAGAAGTTGAATTATTTAAACAGGTGCACGTTTGTTTGCTTATTGAGCAAGAAGGCCTTCGATCTGAATTATCTCGATCAAACGGAGCCTATTGTTCTATCACAATTGGCAGATTCAAGTTTCTTAAGTGGGCATTTCTTGACAAATGCAAAAGCCATTGGAAGAGCAAAGGTTCAGGCCAAAAAAAGCATGCCGGACCATTATTGGAGGCGCCATCGAATTAGTACTTTTTTAAGTTGAGAAAAATTAAACAATTTTTAGACAGCCATGCCATCTCTGGTTTGCGAGATTTTTATTTTGAAAATATTTTTATTTTTAAAAAACCATTGCGTGAAGACGGACGGGTTATCAATAATTGCAAGCGCGGTTGCTAATTAATGAGAAGATAACATTAATTGAGTCCAACCATTGAACTTGATTATGATGACATTTTCTGATGAGACTGCAAAATATTGTCAGAAGAAAGTAAAAAGAGGAGTTGGTACTTTTTTTTATTATTTATTTTTAAAATCAATTTTTATTTAGTCTCTTTTTGAGCTTTTAAAAGTGCAAATCATTAAAGCTTACAAAATTCAACTTTGTCTAAATCTCTACATATAAAATTTTAATCAAATCATATTTTATTGTCGCAACCATGCCATGATTGTTTTAAATGAAGCTCTTTGAAAGCTCACGTGCATCGCGCGGCTTGCTTTCGTCTCATGAGATGCGCTGGCAAATTTGCAAAAAAGTCTCAGTCCGGTCTTACTTTCATGATCACCCAAGCGACAAACCGGTTTCATTTATGTGCGCTCCAAAAACACACGCGCAGACTGGATGATGCGAACTTGAACCAAAATTTTCAACACTTTTACTGCTAAATCGCGCTCGACCACGTGCTTCGAGCTCAAAATTCAAAATTATAACATCCCATTTGACGAAAATTTGCACAATCTAAATCAATAAAAGGTGCCTCGATTTAATATAAATGGAAAAAGAAAAGAATGAATTTACCTGGACCGCCGTGACTCGGAGCGACGACGCCGCCTCCTCGTTTTTCTTCATCCTGGACAGATTGGGACTAGAATTGTAGACAACCGGTGACTCGTGGTCGCTGCGGAGCAAACAAGATTTCTCGTTAAACTCCATGATTATTTGCCGAAAAAGTGAAGGTCTCTTTAGGAGAGACACCGGCGCGTCCGGCAACGAGTTTGCCGAGTCAAAGAGTGAAGCAGTTTACGCGACACCAACTTCAGGTGCTAGTTTTTTTTCTCCCACCACTTAGCCTCTTTGCAAATTTATACATTTTATTGGCAGTTCAACCATCGATCAGTTCCATCAGAGTCGATTTGTTGGTTCACTTGCAAGATTATTTTTCATCGTGGTTTTCGCGTTAAATCGCATCGCGAAAATAATACCCTTGAGATGTTCAAAATTTCATTGAGAGGCCAAAAGAGGAAGCGGCAAAAAACCAGATATTTTATTTTATTATGCTTTCTTCAAAAGGCGGCGCGATCGAGTTTGTCTCTGTTGTATAAAGCGTGGTTAAATTATGATGTCGTTGAAGGTTGGCGGCGCCTTTTCTAATAAAATGTTAGCCTAGCCGCGCACAGGCGAAAAAATGCCGCGGCGTTTTTTTACAACTCCCGCTGTGAATACTTAATGCAGCCTTGAGTACAAATGAAAAAACTCGTTTTTTTTAAGGTATTACCTGCCGGTTGGAAAGCTAAAAATAGCAAAAGTAAACAGTCGAGAATGATTCGATCCTCATTGGCAAATTGTTGAAATTCGCAATGAGAAGTACAAATTTTTACTCAACAAACTAGGAATGTGCTCAAGGTTTTGACTTCCAAGAAAATTAAACCTGATTTTATTGCTCAATTTAACAATTTTTGTAATTCGTGATTGTTTTTAATATATTTTTATTATTTATGTTTTTGTTCTACGCAATTGATTTCATTTTAAAGTAATCCACCTGTTACTCAATAAATTGCTGTATAATAAATTAGATTGCTTTTAAATATAACCCTTTAATGATTAAATGGATCTATAATATGAAATACTTTTTAATTATAATAATGAGCTTATAAATAAAATTATTTGGCTAATTTTTTTAATCTGAATTGAAGCAGATAATCAACATGATATAATTGCATGGCTAGCTTGCTTCTAAATTAAATTAAGCATACGTACGAAAACAAAATTCAGTAAAATTTAATTGCATTTTTATATGAATGTATTTAATTTAAATATACATAATAGAATAAATAATTTTTAGTATTTAGCGTTCCCAATGCTATGCAAATTCATATTCTTTTTATTTAATTTTAACATATATTCATTTAAAAAAAAGTGAACAGTGCGAATTTTCAATGTCAGACAAATTAGTTTAAAATTATTTAAAATCCATAACGAAACATGGCTCAAATTTATAAATTAAAAACGGTATAAGTACTTAAAATGCTTCGTAAAACGTCAATAGCAAATAATAATGAAATTAATTTTATAAGACGTGTATGGATAATAATGCGATTATACCGATTGAACGCTCCTTGCAAAAATACACTGTATTGAATTGTTTAAATCATTGATTTTTTTATCATTTTAGCTTCATATTTTATAATTCCAAAATAAAAGGTGAAGCTATGAAAGCGGGTCAAGTAATAAAATATTGCCAGTGGAAATTAATGCAGCAGCGCAACTTACTGTTTGCAAGCCTTGAAAAGTTTTGATAAGTGCACGAAAGCCGATAAGAGCGACGGTTTGCCGCGTGTCCTGTCATGCGAGCGGCGCGGACCCGACTGACTCGCTCTTTTCACTCTCGGATGCTGCGACGGAGCAGCTGCCGGCGCCGCTTAATTCTCCCGGCCAACCCGCGTCAATCGAATCCAAAATCTAGAGGAACAAAAATAGTGCGCGGCCTCACCTGGAGGATTCGCAGCAATATCCGGCCAACCAACAGAAATCTCTGCCAAATTCAATTAACGAGCAGCTTATGATTTCTATACTGAAATTTTTAAAATTTTCAACCTTTTTCCATAATAACTAACATGTACTTTTTTTTCGACAGACTTTTTTTACGTATGTAAATTGTGATTTGGTGAAATTTTCATTAATTTTGGTCCGGACAACTTTTATTATGAAAATAATTATAAATTCCCATAAGTAAAAATTTTAAATTTGAAAAATCGATTTCTTCAAATGACTTCAATTTTTCTATCTAAGTCTCATTAGAGCTGAAATTTACAAATTTAAATAAGAAAATTCTAATCAAAATTAATCGGGCCATTTCTTTTCGCAAAAGCCGGCGTTCTTGAAGTGCGTTTTTAATTAAACTGATTCGTTTTAATTAAAACGAATGCGGCTGATATTAATTAATATATAATGTATGAACGGGTCATTGCGCCGCTTGACTTTGACCGACACTCCAAGACACTCCTTCTCTTTTCATTTACTCGTTAATTTATTACATGAAGGAGAGTTTCAACTGCAATTTTAACCATGCGCGGCACGTAATCAAGCGAAACTTCCGTCGCTTCTTGTGCTGAGCGTATTTTTACAAAAGCGCGTGATTCGCGAAATAGTTATTTTTTTTCCAACAAGTCGTGTTTTTTCATGCGATGCCATTTAAGTTTGCGCCAAAGGCCTTGGCTTTTGGCAACATAAAAAATTCAATATCTGATGTAAGAAGAAACACGTTTTTATTCCATCTCACTCCGTATGCCGGCCGGTCTAAAAATAGCAATGTTTAAATTTAGCTCTCTGTAAAAAAGCAAAGTTTATGAAATATTACAAACTGAAATTATTTCATTTATTTTGAATTGCTTAATTAAATTCAATAATCATTTAAAATTTCATACGAAATTTAAAAGTTTCTAAATTAAATGTGATCTAGTAGATGAATTGTATGTTTCTAATAAAAAAAAGACCATTAGTGAATAATAAAAAAGAAGTCCACTTTGATGTCCGAGTTAAAAATTCTGTTTTTTAGTCAAACAGATAACATTGATGATTTGGCAAAAGATTCAAGTTCAAGGTTACAAGTCGCACAGATTACAAAGCACTCTTTTCATCAGACATCATTTTTAATCTCATATTGGGCGTTTCAGAAAAACAAAATTCAGCGTTTGCAATAATTTTGGTTTTTTGAATTAAATTAATTATTATTCTCTTGAAATGATATTTCTTCCTTTTTTTATAAATTTTTATTATAAATGTTTATGTGTTAAAAATTTCTTACGGATAGCGTCAGTTCCTTTCTCACAGCATCAGGTCTTCCAACAATTATTAAAAAAGGCACAAGCAATGAAGTTGAAAGAAAAATTGGAATTTCTTACCTGTCCATTGGACAGTAGTCCATGTCGGAATCGGCCTTATCTTCACTCTCGATCGTTTCACTTTTCATTTTCACATGTAAAAATGCAGCAGCGGCACAATTTGCGAGATCAGCTGTCGGCCGAGCCCGAGTTGGGAATGAGGTCTCGCTCTAGCTGCAGCGCTGCACGCATCTCTCCTGATGGACACACAATACATTGTTTCAGCGCGGCGCACACGGCATTGCCACTCAACTTAGTCTCATCTCCCGTTAGATGAATGCAAGATTGCGATCAAAAAGGGCTGTTTTTACACTTGTAAAATGCGCTACCTGCATAAGTGGGGAGCGAATCCAGCCGAGCCGTGCACAAATTTGGCCTCAAATCTTATCGCTTTTGCCAATTCAGATAAAAACCTGATTAAAATCTCAAAACGCACCACACGTTTTTCCTGCGGAGAAAATCAAAATTTAAATAATACTAAATTTCTCAAAAAAATTTTTAATTGTAATAAATCTGTTATTTCTCTTCAAATTAAATCACTTTGAAATTTGGATAAAAAAAAACATGATGATCAATAAATAAGATTTACTTCTAAAATTGGTAATGTTATAGTACGCGCGACGTGTTTTTTCATAAGTTGGCAGCACTTATGCTCCCATGTTCGATAGTGGTTTTACGTCGCGCATACAATAATGGTTTTACGTCGCGCGCTCAATACTGGTGGCGGTGAAATTGTTAAGGAAACCGATTATTCCATCGATACCTCGGCAACATGTATAGCACGTGTGACGAATATATTTTCCTACAACCTTAATGTAGGGGACTGCTAGGAAGAATAGGGGCCCTTGGGATGGGTTCAGAATGGGGCAAGACGACCTCTGGAGGGCCGTGCGCACCCTTATAGCAGGCGCGACGTATCACTATGGAACGCGCGACGGTCGAAAAGCGAACTCTGGAGGGCGCTTTTCACCATCGTCAGAGGCGCGACGCATGGTTGTAGTACGCGCGACGCATGCTTATAGTACGCGCGACGCATGCTTATAGTACGCGCGACGCGCGGCAAATTAATTGAAAGGTGTTGCACGCGGCCGGAGTTGTGGGCACCCCACGAACCGGCAACTCGGAGGTGGGCAACCCCCAAGATTAATTTTTGCAGAAGCCGCGAGCGAGGGGTGGAGGCGCAGCGAGGTCGAGGACGTGGGGAAGGCCGTGCGGAGGGCGAGGACAAAAGGGCGGCTGTGTTCATGAGGGGGCTCCGCAGGAGCCCCCTCACGAACCCCGCCCTTTTGTCCCGCCCGGAGCCGGCCTTCCCCACGTTCTCGGGCGAGCGCGCCTCCAGCCCGAAGCTCGCAAACCCACAACGGAGTTGCCCACAAAAGGTGTTGTCTGCAAAGGGAGTTGTGGGCACCACACTTTTTGCTTTCTAAGCCCTTTTTGCAGACGATTCCTTTTGTAAGCAACTCCGTTGTGGGTTTGCGAGCTTCGGGCTGGAGGCGCGCTCGCCCGAGAACGTGGTGAAGGCCGGCTCCGGGCGGGACAAAAGGGCGGGGTTCGTGAGGGGGCTCCTGCGGAGCCCCCTCATGAACACAGCCGCCCTTTTGTCCTCGCCCTCCGCACGGCCTTCCCCACGTCCTCGACCTCGCTGCGCCTCCACCCCTCGCTCGCGGCTTCTGCAAAAATTAATCTTGGGGGTTGCCCACCTCCGAGTTGCCGGTTCGTGGGGTGCCCACAACTCCGGCCGCGTGCAACACCTTTCAATTAATTTGCCGCGCGTCGCGCCTCCTATAATCGTGCGTCGCGCGTACTATAAGCATGCGTCGCGCGTACTATAAGCATGCGTCGCGCGTACTATAAGCATGCGTCGCGCGTCCTATAACCATGCGTCGCGCCTCTGACGATGGTGAAAAGCGCCCTCCGGAGTTCGCTTTTCGACCGTCGCGCGTCCCATAGTGATACGTCGCGCCTGCTATAAGGGTGCGCACGGCCCTCCAGAGGTCGTCTTGCCCCATTCTGAACCCATCCCAAGGGCCCCTATTCTTCCTAGCAGTCCCCTTAATTAAGATTGTAGGAAAAGAATTGCGTCGCGCGTGCTATAGAGGTTTCCATGGTAATCGGGATATTAAATCGGTTTCCTTAACAATTTCACCGCCACCAGTATTGAGCGCGCGACGTAAAACCATTATTGTATGCGCGACGTAAAACCACTATCGAACGCGCGACGTAATGCAAGTGATGCAAACTGAAATCAGGGATTTTGGGAAACACGTCGCGCGTACTATAACATTACCCTAAAATTTTTCCTCGTCATGCAGTGAAAGTGCTAAAATTTGTAAACGTTGCGCAATTTCTCTCAACAGGTTCACGAATGTAAAAAGAATAAAAAGCACTTATCTTGCGCGGCTGTGTCTGGCTATTTTTAGCCATGATCCGGTGTCGGTCCATGAATTATTCAATCTTCATACACAAAAATAGTTAGTGCGTCAAAACACCACGTGGCGGACTGGTTAAGTTGTTTGCTAAACATGCCTTTATCTTCACTTTCACATAAACTACACGGGTAATTTATTTCTCTATCGTTATGTCAATCCAACCTAAGATTTCATGAGACGATAAATACCTTTACCAAAGCAACAAGTCATAAAGTACAACACAAACGATTGCGTGGTTTGCAATTTGAAATAATCTCGTGCTGATTTTGTTTCGTTGTAAATATTTTGGTTTGACGCCAAGTCCGCCTCACGTGAAGCAGAGGAAATGAATATCCTCTTTATATGACAAAGCGACTTCCTTCGGCACTTTCAAGTTACGCTGACGATTCTACGAAATGATCATTCATATTTAAAAATAAACAACAATGGTGCTCATGAGCTCATTATTATTTTTCTCTTGCACTCTCGCACAATAAAAATGCAGTCGCAGACTGGGCGAAATGATTCAAGATCTGCACTAATGGTTTTGTTGTTCTCGCATCGCGAGAGTCATTATTTGTGACGTATTTAATCTTTAGTTGGAGAGCAGCGCAGAGACAATATATAATCAAACTTAATTGATTATTCGCTTGGCTGCGACGCCATAAAATTTACACTTTGTTTTGAAAGCGTGAATTGATATTACATCAGTGGGAGAAAAAAATTTGTATTGTTCTTTTTTAATCAATATGCAGGTCATTGATCCTGGCTATGCAGTTTGAAAATTTATAGAATGAAATAAGGATATAAATTTTTTATTTTTTGAAAAAGGTTACATTTAATTTGCAATTTCTTTATAACTTACAACTTTTAATTTACAGCGGAATTCAATGGTACTTGTATTTTGAGTTTAAAATATATTTTCACATAAATCTTTTCTCTACGTGTATATGTCTTATTTTTGCAGTGGATTTATAAATATGTTTAAGAATATGTTTGGCATAATTTTAAAAATATTTTCCTCAAATTATATCTGAATTTCATCTTACTTATGGATTAATTTGCATATTATTACTTACAATTTATTAATATTTTACCAATGCTTTGTAAGCTTACAAAACATGCATGACGTTTCAACTTATGCAACTTGTATGATTCGCGGGATGCATAAGTATCCGCATTGGAATGTCTACTGTTTCAAGTTTTATTAATTTAAAATATTTATCATATGTTTATTTTAAATCATTCATTAATTCACAATGAGTATCATTTTTTAATTGAAAAAAAAATAATAGAAATAACGATAATAACGATATATATATATATATAATTGTTAAATAAAAAATATTTTAGATTTCATCAATATTTATTTGATTTTGAGTTAAAATATTATTATTTGAAAGGGCCCATTTGAACGACTTGGAGAACATCCCAGCGTTTCTGTTCATTTCGTACCTGTTCCTGTTGACCAAGCCGGACATCACCTGAGCCAACGTTTTGGTGTGGGGCTTCACCGCCGCCCGATTCCTCCACACGTTGGTCTACGCCTTCTACCCTGTGGTATTACAAATTTAATTTATTGCAAACCAAAATAATAATAGGAAGTTGCAAGTAAGGGGTTTGCATATGATTATACTGACTCTTTAATTGTTTAATAAATTCTATTTAAATTATTTATGGGTAATTTAATTGTTCAATAATTCTATTGTTTAATGATTTAGATTGTTTAAATTATTTCTAATGCTAATTGTTTAATAATTATATTGGTTGGGGTATTCTGTTAAAACAAATTGGGTCAGCTTACAAACGGGCTTTATTTAACACAACAATTCTGGCAAAATGGTAAATTTCACTGACTCGAAATTGTTAGTTTACTGTCTCTTAAAAAATAAACAAATGGGAGCGGTGTTCCCTGGGTAGGCCGGCTGGCTGCCCTGGAAACGTCCTTGCTGGACACCCGGCGGCTCCCTGCAGGTCGGCGGCGGCTCTCGGCGCGGCCGGGGCCCATGGCGTGCTGGTCTCTGGCGGCGGACGTTTGGACGCCTTCGTCCCAACGCTCGCTTGCGGTGTGCCACGTCGGCGCCCGATTCCCTCGGACAGGAAGGAGCTGGGGACAAAACAATGGGTCGCTCGGCTGTACTTCCGTCCCACGTAGTGTTTTGACCTTTCGGCCAAAAGAAGGCCTCAGGGCGAGAGACTAATTGGAATCTCTCTTACCTGGCAAAGCTGCTCCGTACGGCTTCGGACGGCTCAGCCGCATCCGGGACAGTACGAGGGACACTGGTGTGTCTCTCGAGGGGCTCGGGACGCGGTCGGCCTTCCGGCTGTTCTCGGACGAGACAGCGTCGGGACAGGACAGCGGTCGGCGCCGTGGGACAGCTCGGACGGGTGCAAAGGGATCGGACGGGCGTCCGAAACTGCACTGGGTGTCCAGGTGTCCTGCGAACAAAGAGCAAAGGGTTGAATGCTCTCCGTCAGCTGGCTCAAGTGTCGGAGCTTTACCTCTGATTTCTCTGAGGTCTGTCAGCCTTCTGCATCGAGCCAGCGGACGGAGCGCCTTTTTATAGCGCGGGTAGCAGCCCTGGGAGGGTCGTGCAAAACCCACCCACCCATTTGATTTACATTGAGAACTTTCTAGATGCATCTAGAAAGTTCTGTGAATTTACAGTTGAATTCTAAAATGCCTCTATAAATTCCCTTGAAGTGAATTGGAATCCCATGAATTCTACAAGCTAATTCCAATTGAATTTATACTAATTATTTGTAAATTTAAAGCTTCTTTAAATTTAAAATAAATGCAAGATTTATTTGTAAGAATTCAACTTAAAACAATGGCCAGAATTTAAAAAAAGAATAATTAAAAAGAAAGCCCTTAAAAAATGAATTTAATTGTAAGCCGAAAATTAATTGAATAATAATAATAAAAAAAAACAATGAAGTTCTCCGATGACACAGCCACAGTCAAAACAAACAAATTAATAGAGGAATAAAATAATTATTCCACACCACCTGTGCCGCAGCCCTCGAGGGCCATCGCCTTCTTTGTCGGTCTCTTGATTTCACTCTACATGACCATTGTGGTGTTTTTCTACTTCGTTTGAAAACTCGAGACTTCTCGTGGAGTACTTTAAATTATTATCTGTAAAGGCAAAATTCTTATTTCAATTATCGAGTTGATTTTAACTTTTCATATGTTATTTTTAATCATATTAATTAAATCTTAAATTTATTTTATTAAAAAAAGAGGATTTTTTTAAACTTTCATTAATTTTGTTGAGATAAATTCATATTATTTTAATTTGTTGAATTACCAAAGTCATGTATCTAAGGCCAGCAATATATTTATGTAATTTGAACCCCATAAAGGGAATTGGAATTATAATAATCTTTATAACACATTTTTCTTATTTTAAGGTTTCAATAAAAAGAAAAATTATTTCATCAAATTTCATTCTTCACCAAAGGCTTTTTTTAAATGCATTTTTCTTTATATATTAATAGTAGGTGGGCCTTAATATGAAAATCATTGCGAGTCGCGGCTGCTCTTTCAGCATTCTGACGACAGATGCTGTTTAAGCGATGCATTTGCGCTGGAGAGCGCGCCACTTTGGTGCTATTCATTAGACTGCCTGCCACATAGTTCTGCCTGCACAGTATCGAACGTTTTCAAATTTTATTCTTCATCCTTATCAATCGAGGGTAAATTATAAATTTGCAGTGACGAATTCCATATTTGACGGAGAGGAAAGTCGCTTGTTCACTTTTGCAGAATTTCAACAATTTACATCAGTTGAAATTTACTTGAAAATGCATGACAGAAAATTGTTAAAATCAATTTTAAATCACAAGCACTTGTAGAACAAAATCAATCTCAAGCTAAAAATATGTATTATTCATAAAAATTATTGCCATGGATCTGTTTGCATTACATTCTTTTATTTAGTTTTCAGTTCATCGGAGTTTTCATTTGAAGATATAAATATATCACATGGATTTTGTTGAAATAGATATCAGACATTTTAAATTGAATTTGAAGAAACTAAATTTTTACATATTTATTGTGATAAGGAACAATTTTAGAGAACAAAGGTAACCATGGGTGACACATGAGCAATCTGCAAGTAGTGCAAGGCTGTCACTGCTGTCAGAGGGTTTACGATTTTAGCCGCCACAATGCAAATGACTGATTTCAGCTTGTGGCACTTCAGCGCAATGTTGGAGAAGAGTTTGTTGTGGGCATCAAGGTCGTCTACAGTTTTCAAAGCAAACTCCGTGTACAGCTCGACCAGGTTCTGCAGGTAGGGCTCGGGGTTTCGTTGATGGCGTGATGGTCTGTGAAGCACAATTCTTTCAGGTCGACTACTTGCAAGTTGGGCGCCAGCAGCAGTTCCCAGAACTGCATCTGAGAAATTCCTCCGTCCTCCCACTCGTAGCGCCCGTTCAGCCGAAGTTCCTTCAGTTTCAGCTTCTTTGGGTTGAAGGCACACTGCCCTTGCTCCCTGAATTTGGCTTTCACACTCAACTTTTCCAAGTTGTGAAACATGTCAAGCACTTGGAAAAGGTCAAACTCCCCCAAGGACTCGATATCCAATTTTAGCTCGGACAGTTTTGAGCCGACGAGTTGCAACGATTGGAACAAGAAATCTCTTGGGTCTGAAGAGATGTGCAGGCTCAGACTTTCCAGAAGAGGGAGCGAGGCCAAAAGTTGTGGAGTCAAATCTCTGCATTTTCCCGTCACATCTTTCAGCTGCCTCAGGTGAGTCAAATTTCTGAAATGATTTTGAATTTTAGAATTAAAAATTATACATGAGCTGAAATGCAAAACTCTCTCACTTCACAAAATCACTGTGTTCGCCGAACTTTAGGTTCTTCAAGTTGTAGTATTGCTCGAAATGTCAAGCTTGGGTGGAACTAAAAGAGAAATTTTATATATATTTAATCAATAAAAGATTCTCTTTAAAAAAGAAAAACATAATCAGAGTTTAAAAAATTAATTAACATTAACGCTTCATATTACCATAACGCACATCCAAGAGGATTTTCAGCTTTCTTGGCAGTCTTTCCTGAAACCATGAATAATCAATTTGCGGTCTCTGGACATGGGCGTCCGCAACTGTGGTAAAGTGAACTTCCTCAAGGGAGGGAAAGGCTTCCAGCGTCCTAATCCCTTCGGCTGACAGTCCTCGTGAAATGAGCAAAGTAAGTTTCTCCAAACGAGGACAACTGGCGGCCAGAATTTGCAGCGCCTCTGAAATTTCAAATACATAATCATGTGATTTATTTACTTTGTAATTTTTCATACCATCGGAAAATCTCACAGTGGTGAGGTCGAGGTGTTTGAGATTTGGGAACTGGACCAGGTAGTCGATGATGTCATTCCCAGAGGTTAGTGTGCACCTGTTTCTCCTTCTGTCTCGGATCATCTGCAGGCTGTTCTTCTGAGAAGCGGCCAAGCACTCCCAAATGGCCTTATCCTTTTCGTCAAAGCCTCTGTTGACGCAGCCAAGCACAGAAAAGTCAAACTCGTGCAGCTCCAACGGCGAAATCAGCAGTCTGATCTGATTTACGTCAGCTGTAATCTCGAGTAGATCCCGCTCTCCAGAATCCAAGCTCTACGCAAGCCGTTCAAAAATTAATATGTACTCTGGATTATTCATAAAAAGATAACACACTATAAAGCTGTGCACAAAATTGATTTTCAATTTTCCTTTTTCAACACGTAAATTTTGTACCAAATTGAATTAAGTTAGAATAAGGAAGGGAAGAGTTACATTATTCTTTGTTTACCTCTAAATCTATGTAGCGGTCTTGTTTTATTAGGATTACGAAAGCACTCTTGAGGATCTTTCCAGGAACCATGGAGATTGCAGAAAGGATGTCCGATTTCACTGCAAAGGCTGCAATTGGAACGAAGAGAGGAAACTTATTAAAAGTTATTGAAGACAATGTTATGCTCTGCTCATTAAAGGAATCTCCATTAAATTATAAATGTGTTGTGGAATTTTCCTATGAGTAAAATTTAATTCTCTTACGGAGATGTTCGATGAGCTGCAAGGCGTCGCCTCGGAAACGACGCAAATTCAAGAGAAAACTCCTCATTGCCAAATCCTTCAAGGACGACAGGTTCAGTCTCCTTTGATGGGTTTTAAGTGCTTCAATCAAGTTTCTGGTACTTCTCCGACCTCTGACATCCTCTGCCAAAATAAATTATACACACGTGTACGTCATACGTAATAGAGAAATGATTTTTATGTGTAGCTCATTTATAAACAAGTTACAAACTCATGAATTCTCTGGTGGTTTTCCAAGGAACAGCTCGCGGCGCGATCGTTCCTCCTGCTCCTGTCATAATTTGAATAAAAAAAAATTAAAAGAACTATGCATAATTAACTTGAATTGAGAGCATAAATGAGAATTATTTATTTAAATTTCATGGGGATTATGTACGTACCAAGACTCGCCATTTTCAGAGAAGGAGGGCTAAGTCGGTCAGGTCGCTTAACCTTGTGCGTCAGGGTCGTCGAAGGGCTTCAAGGTTGGAAGATTTTGGCGACATGAGCGGAAATTCGCCAGAGAAAAAGGCCGATGCGGCGGAGGAGAACGAAGAATTCGCCGAAAATCGCAGCGACAAAACAACAAAAACATTCATTTGAATTATCCGAAAATTAAACCCCCATTTTTTGCTATTCTGAAAGAAGGTTGAAACCAAGGTTGAATCCACTTAAAATGTGATAGGGTAGGTAAAGATTTGGTTGATTTAGGGTTTACCGTCGAAGGTTGTGCTGGTAGGGGGTAGGGGTGCACCTAGGGGTCTCAGTCGAGGGTGATGGGTAGCTTCGGAGGTGGGCAGGTCAGCTGACGTGACCCTCCCTTGGGCCGGCCATTGACCTGGCCGTCTACTGACCGCCGCAGGTTCAACATCGCGCAATGAAAGAGGTGCAGCTCTTAAATCCTTCCCTAACGCTCCTCTGGCATGCCACGCCCCATTTTTCATGTTCATTGTTGTTGTTGATTCAAAACTTTCAAATATTCCTGGATCTGCCGCCCTTCTTGCTTGCGCGCCATCTTGTGAGTTTGGTGGGTACCGGCCGTACCGGTTCTTTGTTGTTTTTTAAATAACGCGGAGTGAGTACAGAATTTTTAATTTTCTTAGCTTGAAACCCCTAAATTCGCAATTATCGGGGTTCATACGGATCCATTTTCGAATCGAAATAAATTTGCGCTTCTTTTTTGCTTATAAAAAACCGCAATATGTCAGTTAATTCCTCAGAAATTCATTTACATCGATTCAAAACCGGGCACGATCGCCACGATCGAGTGCACGAATGCATCCAATCAGTTCTGATTTATAGATTTGTATTTCATCTAAATTACTGAATTAACTCGGGTCTCTAAACCATCTACAGATCACTTATTTTATTCAATGCATGCGTTTATTCAAAAATGCATGCTCGAAGTGCCCAAAATGTGCATTTTTGCATTATGTATCTTCTGAGTTGGCCCACTGTAATCCTCCGTCACATTTCTGGCCCCCCGTTTTTCATAAGAACATAATATTTTTCCCATTTTTTCAATTATATCCTGGAGTCAGAAGTGCATTTGACCGCATTCTTGGCTCATCTTTTTTAAACTCTTACAATTGTTATGATTTAACATATTATGTCTTTTTCAGGTGAAATTCTCCAATACCTGCCTGCCATTGGACTGCTGTTATTTCGCTGAGGCAACAAGCATGAACAAGCGCATTGTTTACTTCATAAGATTGAGTTTTCAGCCTCTGTTTTTGTGCAATTGAGCTAGTATTCCCTCCAAGCCAATTGCATGAGATTGAAAATATGTATGTAAACGGTATAATTATAAGATAATGAACTCCATAACCCATAGGATAATTCCTGTGTTCCGATACTAGAATGCTAAGTTTAAAGGGGGAATATAAAATTTCCAGTTTTTTTTTTCAATTTTAATTTACTGTCAAATTCCACCACACCAGTTGCCATCCGAATTATGCAGTGCGTCCAAAGAATGCAAATAGTGCTTGAAATAAAATAGATGATGACAAACAGAGCATCTGTTTCTCTTGGGCTCAATCTATTAATGCAAATTTGAATTAAAACTTCTTGAAAAAAAATACATTTTGTGTTCACAGGCTGGTCGAAGAATATTATAAACATGAAGCAACGTCGGTTGTCATCTCAGCTGTTGCCGATGCTCTGTCACTTGTTTGGGACAAAGCAGACAAGGAGCTTGACCAAAAGTCTGTGCCTGAAATCCTATACGAGAACAAGGATAAAGTTACTGATTTGATTTGGGAGCTACAATTTCTGCTACCCAAAAATGAAGCTTTGGAACTAGTGTCAACACTGCACACGTCCAACCCAGATTACAAGCGTGTGGTTCTGGAAGGTATATTTAAAGAGTAAATTCGATCTAATTAATTTCAGTGTTGCTTTTTCACTAGTTCTGGGTATCTACAAAGAGGAGAAGCAGCTCCAGTTCAAATCAAGGCTTGACATGGCCGCCCGTCAGAAAGTTTTCCCAGCTATTTCTGCACCACGCCGTCAGGAGGATAATGATTGCCTGAAATATCAGGAATTCGGAAACTTGACTGGTATGTTTGGTCTTTTGAAAGGAATAAACTAATTTTTGTGTACAGTCGTAGTCACGCCTAGTCCAAAGAATTGGATGGGCAAGGAAAGGGTTGAGTGTGAGTTATTTAAGAACCATTATTCAAATTTTTTTTTTAATTGACATTTGTTTTCAAGGTCTGAATGTGGTTGTGAAGAAGAAAGAGAAACAGGTCGTTAAACCTGATAATTTCTGTCTATACGAACCAGGCCTACCAGAGATACAAAGACAGTGTGAAAGTGGAAATTGTTCGTTGAATTCCAAGATTTTTCTGTACCAAAGTTTGGCGAAACAAGGGGTACACCGATATTCTTTAAATTTTTACCATTAATTAATAATTATTCTATTAAAGTACCAGGGAGCAGCATGGAGTTTGGCAAGGAGGGCATTTGGAGGGCAAGGAGGACATTTGAGGAAGCTTCTGCAAAGCATAATCCTTGGAAGTGGTGTTTGGAGTGCCCAAGCAAAAGTACACCGCTACAAAACTATCGGCAACATGTAAGTTTGATTTTGAAAAGCTTAAAATTTTCAAAGTTGTGTTTTAGTTATCCTCTCATCTTGCAAGATGATTGGGATACATGTGCCTGTTGGGAACAAGTGTTTTTCAACTCGCAGAGTGTACTTCTGCGAACAAAGATTTGCAGTAATTGCAATTACCGTGAGGCAATTTATGGGAAAGCCCCACACCTGACCCCTGAGGAAGCAGCCGCAATAGTAGGCGTGGACGAGTTTGAATCTTGCGGACCGTGCCCTTCAGTATGACTTTGAATTGCGTTTGCTCTTCTTTTTTGATTTTTTTTATGCAGTGCTTAGAACATAACCTGAAGCTGCAACTCTGCATCCCTTCAAATGTGGTGGCAATTGATTTTTGCCATCCCGGTACAATCGATGGTATGCCAACTATTGACGAAGCAACTGCTAAAGGCCTCCTTCCCCCTGAGATGACCATTGGTGGTTACCAATTCAAACTGATTGGCCTCTGTGAGTTTGGCTTTTGGTTGGGATGGGAATGAATTTGCTGTGCAATTTTATATATTATATTTATATTTTAAATTTAGCCATCCGTGAGGTTTTTGACTGGAATATTAGAGTCAGAGATGGAAGGCCTGACAAGCGGACATATTCCATGTCTGAAATAGCTAAACGGTATGACGCTTCAAGATATGTTTATTCGGAAACACATGATGAGGGCAACAATTGTGGAGATGAGGAAAAGAAAGTGCAGGACAAAAATCATGAAATAGAAGAAGAAGAGGATGAAAATCATGAACCCGAACAACCTAAAAATGATGAGGATGAGGACGACGAAGACGAGGACAAAAATTATGAACCAGAACAACCTGAAATTGATGAGGATGAGGACGACGAAGACGAGGACAAAAATCCTGAACCAGACCAACCTGAAAATGATGAGGATGAGGACGAGGAAGACGAGGATGAGGACGACGAAGATGAGGACGACGGTTTTGGTCATAATTTTTATCTGGAATTTCAAGATGATGGCACCTTTTGGCGGGTTTGTGATGGTGATCCGGTCCACGTGTGGTCCAAAAACCACAATGACAACCCGTACTCCCTGCGTGAGGGATTCCGGCACGAAGTGCAGTATGCTTATTATGGCAAGAAGAATGAGGTGAAATTGAAAAGGGCTGCGCAAACAGAGACAGAAGCAAGTAAGTCAAACGTATTTATTATGTGGTAAACAATTGCTTTCTTTTAGTTTTTATAACTTGAACATTATGTGTTTAGCTGAGCCAAAGAAGGAGAAAAAGTCAAAGAACCATAAAAATATAAAAACAGGATCTAAGACTGCTGCTGTGAAATCAAGGAGAACCAGCAATGCAAGAATGCTGTGCCAGCCAAAAAATGAAGGTGCTTGTTCTGAAAAAATGCATGTCTTGGATGGCAAGGACAAGTTCCAGCTACGCGAGTTCTCTGACAACAATGTGCAGTCTGGTGACTACTTGATCCGCAAGGTGCTCTTGACCCTGAAAGACAAGTTTTTTTTCTGTAAATTCATGATTTCGTTCTCCATCCAGGTTCCACTGAAGTTCAGCCTTTTCGAGACTACCACAGAACAGGACGATTGCTTCCCGCCTGGAATTTCAGTCAAAGTCAAGAACAAACTTCTAACGCTACCAGTACCAGTAAGCTTCCATTTCTTCATTTAAGTAAACATGTTTAAAAAAATGCCATTTTTATTATCTTTTCATCCGAGATAAAGTAAAAAGTAACAAATTAAGGAAACTATGGAAAATTCATAGTAATTAGTAAATTAATGTTTAATTTTTATCTGATTATTAATGCTTTTTTTTCTAATTTGCAGAACCCAATTCCCACCAGCAACAAGCCAGGAGTGGAGCCGAAAAGGCCTCCGAGGCCGAACAACATCTCCCCTCTGTTGAAATTGAGCCCCACCGTCGGCAACACAGTCAACGTGTCTTGGGCTCAAGACTACACCAGAAACTTTGTGGTCAAAATCTACCTGAAGAAACTCTCGTCCACCGACCTTTTGAGCAGACTGAAGAACAAGGGTGTCCGACCCGCCGAGGAGAAGCTGCAGGAGGACGCCGACTACGAAATCGCAACCACCTCCCTTCGAGTGTCCCTGATGTGCCCCCTGGGCAAGATGAGAATGTCGGTGCCATGCCGGCCTTCGACGTGTGTGCACCTCCAGTGCTTCGACGCCTCCTTGTTCATCCAAATGAACGAGACAACGCCGACCTGGAACTGCCCTGTTTGTGATAAACATGCCTTGTACGACACCTTGGTCATTGATGGGTAATTGTCACGAATCTTCACCTTAAAGTAGATCCCATTTTTGGGAAATTTGTTTCAAAGTTAAAAAGTACTTAAATGATTTTTGAAAAAACTTTGAATTGGCCGAGGCCCTGAGCTTCTTGTTTTAATTTCTCCTACCTTTCCTTGAACTAATCCATGTTTTTACTTCAAATACCTCTCATTTCCTCAGATACTTCCAAGACGTACTCAAATCTTCACGCTTGCCTGCCGACTGCAATGAAATTCAGTTGACCAGTGATGGCTCCTGGACCATCATATCAACCAAGAAAGAGTCGAATGCCCAAAACCTGTCCCCAAAAAAAGAAGCGGTGGCCGCGCCTGCTGCCAAAGTGGAAAACGTTGAAACCCTGTCTGATGAAGCTGGTAATTGTTTATTTCGAAATTAACCAGTCAAGAACCAGATGTTAAATGCTGAAATTTCCAACAGAAGTGCTGGAGGACCAGCCGCCCAAGAAGAAGCCTGCGCCTGTGATGGTCGACCTGACCCTGAGTGACTCTGAAGACGAGTCTCCTCCCAAGAAGATGCACAACAGGATTCAGGTGCCAGACCTGATGCGCGCCCATCTCCCTCTGTTGGACCAACTCCGGCTCTACGAAAACCAGGACATCGTCGAGCAACCCTGCCAAGGCGTGAACCAGGAGGTCATGGCGCAGCCACTGCTGCGGCACACCCTGTGGGGCAAGATGCGTCCATCTGCGTTGCCCCAGCAGGAGGAACTCCTGGTTGACATGTTTGGTGTGAAAACCGGTCCTGGTGAGGTGTGCTCTCGGAAAGTGATTTCCAACCCTGCTGCTGACTCACCAATCTATGGTAAATTACTACTCAATTTTATCTTACTATTATCTTCAATTATCTTGTTAATGCAAAAAGGACAATCACAAATTGACCAATTTTTTTTATCAATGTAGTAATTTTTGTTCTGATAGTCACTTTAGTAACATTTTTGGTACATTTTAAGCTGTATTTTTTTTTTTAAAAAAAACTAATTTTTTTCTAGGATGTCTGGAAGCTGTCGAGTTTCTGCGAGAGTCCCAGTATACAGATGAACCACCCTGCCGAGGCTTCAACCGGGAGGTCATGACGCAGCCACTGCTGCGGCACACCCTGTGGGGCAAGATGCGTCCATCTGCGTTGCCCCAGCAGGAGGAACTCCTGGTTGACAGCAACTCTGTAAAGTTTGGTGAGGGAACTGATCCTGGCGACGAGTGCTCCCAGAAAGCTGCAGACTCACTATTCGCTGGTAAATTATTACTCAATTATCTTAAAATTATCTTATTATTGTAAAACGGACATTCCACAAAGTTAAATTTACCCATATTTGTCGTTTTTTTATTTATAAATCTACCAATTTTTGTTCTGAAAGTCAATTAAGGAACAAAAAAAAAGTGATCCCCTTGACTTGTTCTTTCATAACCATGTGTCGCACATAGTGACTGGGTCAAAAAAGGTCATTGACCCTGGCGACCTGTGACCTTTGCAGGTGGGACACATGATTGGAAAGAACACATCAAGCAGGACATTTTGCGGTAGCCGTATTTAAGACGTAGCTTTATTAAGAGCAAAGTTATCACATTATTTGGTAGCTGAAAATTGAATTCAAAGTTATCATTAGATCAGTGAAATTCATGTGGGCAAAATTTGTTCAATAATGAAAGTTTTTTTACTAATTCTTATTATGGTTAAAATAAAATTGGTATTTTTTTATTTTTAGTGTCATGGAACGCAGCTGCGAGATTGCATGAGTCCAACTTCACATTTCATCTGACTCCTGAGCAAGCTACTAAAATAGCCATGTCCTTCAACAGTATAGGCGAAGGAGAATACAGTATTCAGGTACTTTTTTCATTTTAATGCAGATTCTGTGTGAATTAATGATTTCATTGTCAATCCAGGTTCAACTGAGGTTCAGCCTTTTCGAGACTACCACAGAACAGGACGATTGCTTCCCGCCTGGGATTTCAGTCAAAGTCAAGAACAAACTTCTAACGCTACCAGTACCAGTAAGCTTCCATTTCTTCATTTAAGTAAACATGTTAAAAAAAAAATGCCATTATTATTATCTTTTCATCCGAGATAAAGAAAAAAGTAACAAATTAAGGAAACTACGGAAAATTTATAGTAATTAGTAAATTAATGTTTAATTTTTATCTGATTATTAATGCTTTTTTTCTTATTTGCAGAACCCAATTCCCAGCAACAAGCCAGGAGTGGAGCCCCCTCTGTTGAAATCGAGCCCCACCGTCGGCAACACAGTCAACGTGTCTTGGGCTCAAGACTACACCAGAAACTTTGTGGTCAAAATCTACCTGAAGAAACTCTCGTCCACCGACCTTTTGAGCAGACTGAAGAACAAGGGTGTCCGACCCGCCGAGGAGAAGCTGCAGGAGGACGCCGACTACGAAATCGCAACCACCTCCCTTCGAGTGTCCCTGATGTGCCCCCTGGGCAAGATGAGAATGTCGGTGCCATGCCGGCCTTCGACGTGTGTGCACCTCCAGTGCTTCGACGCCTCCTTGTTCATCCAAATGAACGAGACAACGCCAACCTGGAACTGCCCTGTTTGTGATAAACATGCCTTGTACGACACCTTGGTCATTGATGGGTAATTATCACAATTCTTAATAGTTTCTAGGCCAAAATTATTTCAAATTAAAATAAAGTTGTTAAAATTATAATTAAAAAACAAAACAAAAAACTCATTTTGACACTATCCGGAGGTTCTTGTTTCTTGCAGGAATCAAAAGCATTTTGATTTTACACGGAATAAATTCGTGTCTGAAATTTTCAGCATTGAGACGCATTAACTCAGGTTTTTCCCTTTCTAGGGGAAAAAGTACCTTTGAAAAATGTCGTATTCCTCATTTTTCGTAGTAATTTTCTATTCCTTTCATACAGATGGGACAAACGCCAATTTATAGGAAATTTAATAAGCTCAAAGTTTTCTAGAAATAGACAATTTTTGGCGCCTAAATTTGTATTTTTGGAAGAAAAAAATTCTATTTTTTTATGGCTTTATTTTGCTCTAACAATAAGCTCTTATGGAAAACATTTAAGAGAAAAATGTTTCATTCAAAACTTAAATAAAATCAAATCGTGCACATTTTTTGCTAAACATTTTCTTCTAAATCCAAAGAGGCAAAAGTTATAAATGCCGAAAGGTTGAGAAATGAGGTTTTCTCCTTAAATTAACCTTACGGAAGAAAATCAAACTTGGGCCTAGAAGGCTCAAAATCACCTTATTGCTTTCAACTTCCCTCAAATTAACTGATTATATTGACTTGAATACTTTTCACTTCCTCAGATACTTCCAAGTCGTACTCCTGTCTTCACGCTTGCCTGCCGACTGCAATGGAATTCAGTTGGCCAGTGAAGGGTCCTGGACCATCATATCAACCAAGAAGGAGTCAAATGCCCGAAGTCTGTCTCGGAAAAGAAAAGCGGCGGCCGCGCCTGCTGCCAAAGTGGAAAACGTTGAAACCCTGTCTGATGAAGCTGGTAATTGTTTATTTCGAAATTAACCAGAAAAGAAACAGATGTTAAATGTTGAAATTTCCAACAGAAGTGCTGGAGGACCAGCCGCCCAATAAGAAGCCTGCGCCTGTGATGGTCGACCTGACCCTGAGTGACTCTGAAGACGAGTCTCCTCCCAAGAAGATGCACAACAGGATTCAGGCGCCAGGTATGCTCAGGGCTCGCAGTAGCCGCGTTCCACTGCATTCCTCAAACTTCTGCAGCAACCAATTGATCAACTGGATTTGAATGTCATTTGAACTGATTTGTTTGTAGAGTCGAGTTCGAGCAACAGGAGCTTCGACTCCAACGCGAGGCCGACTTCGCCGAGTTCGGTCGGGCGCCAGAGCCCCAGCGTGATCACCCTGGAAAGTCCGTCGCCGTCTCCATCAATCCCTTTCTTGCAGCCTTCCAGCACGACGGGCCACTTGGACCCCCCGCCCGCCCATTCCAACAACTTCAGGCAAATGTACTACAACTCGATGAGCACCGCCCCCTCCCTGCCCATTCTCGACTTGGACTTCTCGGTCAGCCACACTTGGAGAAACCAGAATTTCATTTGAGCTGTAAAAAGAGCGTCTTTTCACTTTCACTGTAAGTTAATTTAGTTAATTATTCCATGCAAAGGATCATCCTGAAACTATGCCGTCTGTTTCTCAATAAAAGAACAAAGAATTAATAATCTCACTGTTTTGTCATCTTTTGTTGCATTTATATATATATATAATTTTTTTTTCATTTTTCTTAATTTAACGATCAAACTCATTGCGCGAATTAATCACATAATTTAATTTTTTTGAAAATAGTTAAAATGAAACATTGTGCCGTAGAAATATTAATTTCTTTATAAAAATCCACGAACATTAAACCGATTTCAATAATCACAAAGCTCAAAGTTACTGTTGCGTGTGGACATAAGAATTGCTCTTGCGTTTTCGCCTCGGCGCAAAAGCCGTCGCCGATTAATTCCGTGTCGAGCAGCCCAGCCACCGTGAGCAGTTCCTCTCTTGATCGCCTTGCTCGTCGTCGAAGGAAACGGGCCAGACGGTGAAGGGGCTGAGGCTCTTTGGGCCGTTTTTCAGTTTGGACCGCGCCTCGTTGGTTTCAATTCCGAATTTGTCGCGCTCGTATGCAAAATCGCACCAAACGGTAAGATTCTTTCTGCCGAAATTTATTGCGCTCGGACCGAAAACGACGAGCGTGATGAGTTGCAAATTCACACATTTTTTTTACCCCGTAACTCTTTTTTTTTCTCGCCCCTGGAGCTGAATTTTGATCTCCTCGTCCATACTGTCAGCAGGAAAATAAGTCACGAATACATTTTAGAGCAAATTTTACAGCGGCGCGTTCCACATTTGGTAATGTCGTTTTTTCTCTGTAGCAGAATTTCAACTCTTTCCTTCGGATAGAATTTTCTTGTAAAATTAATATATTATCATCTAAGACATAATTGTTTATCAGTTTCAAAGAAGTTTAAGAAAAACAATCTTATTAAAATGTATGGATTATTCAAAAAAAAATTCAAAGACACGGCTCTGTTTGCATTAACTTTATATTCGATTAGTTTTCAGTTCATATCTCACAGTTTTCATACAATTTTAGGAAAATATCACATGCATATAAAACTCATAAATTGTAAATAAAAAATTAAATTAATTAAAATTACAAAAAAACCTTACACAGCACAAATCCCCACCTAATCATAATCAATAAATCTTAACCAGATCCCACTTCCTATACTTCTAATTCCTAATCTTTTACTTTTCAGTTTGTCTTTTTCAGCATCGCCGCTAAACTAAGTTTTTGCCAGCGAAAATAAATGATGCTTGATTTCAATAAAGACAAACCCAAAATCAAAATAAAAAAAAAGACAAAATTGAGTGGCGCCTTCTGCGCCACTAAAAAGGGCACAGGCCGACAAGACTTTGTCTTGGCCTGACCCTAAAAAAAAAATACATAATATAATTTGATTATGTTGTTAGACCTTTTCATTCAACATGGGTTTCCGTCTTTTTATATTTCAAATGACGGCGAGCAGTCGTAAACAATGCTGCCTGACAAGAGTGTATTGTTGGTCCACGACAAAAAAAATCATTCAAACAAGAGAGGTCGAAATTTTCCCTCCAGACGAGGCAAAATAAAACCGCGTGAATGGGATTCGCTCAATGCAAACGAAGCGCAAAAAACATTTTTTAAGAAATCGTTTCTTTATTGAACCACGGCCTTGCTTTCTCGCCTTCTCTCTTCGCGGATCATTCTGGCCTTTTCGTTAAATTTCTTCTTCCGGCGAGCACTCAGAGTCCTCCAGGCAGCGCCTATGTTTCGAAAAGTTGCCTGGGGAGTTTCCCCCTGATATGTCTGGCTTTCCTCAGCTGTGAACAGCATGTAGCCCGTAGGGTGGGCGCCAGGCCTGCTCTGATTCAGCCTTTTCGGCTAGAAAAATTAATTAATTAATTATCCGTGTGCGAACAACGTAAGAAAACAATTGGACGCAAGTTTCCTCCTTTTTTTCGTTGTTGTAAAACTAATGAATATAAAAATTTATGCACAATGTGGATAAGCAGTGAAATTGTTCACGGCGTAAATTATTTTGTTTTTATATGTTATCTAGAAATTTTCTATTGGTTGAGGCAATAAAAAAAATGCACTTAATAATTTAAATTTTTGAGATTCTTACCAATTTCTTCTGCTCCCGAGCCATGAGTTTGTAGATGTTCTTTTGGGCAGCGGAGAGAGTGGTCCATTCTTCTACGAGCTCTCTCAGTTGGTCCTGGGCATATTGACCGCGGCGTCGGCGAAACCTGATCTTTATGTACACATTCAATCCGGTCAAAATCCCGTTCCGAGCCATTTCGTTAAAAACTTTTCAAACTTGTCAAAGCCAACAGTAAGACGTAAACTGCATTGTTGCAACCGTCGGTTCTGCCATTCTTTTAGTTTGGCATTGTTGCAAGGCTCATATTTATGGTGCACAACTGAACCAGAAATTCTTCAAGCTATTTCTAACTGTGTTTCCCATAATTTTTTTTTGTGTGCAGTGAAATAAATTCTAAAAATGAAATTAGCATGTGCTAACATTAGGCCACTTTAATTGAGGCAACAATGGGACCCGCAGGCGCAAAAACAACACATTTCGAAGGTGTCGCTCGAGGCATTTTATTAGAGGGATTTAGGCAAAAACATTATCCCAGTACACGCACACGTAACCCAATAAAATACGACAATTTTCAGTTGTGCGGCTTTTTGCCAATTTGAAAGAATAATCGCCTTAGGTACACTTAATGTTTTTAACGTAGAATTGAGAAGTTTTGCCAAAAAAAAAAGAAGTAATCGTTTCTCTTTTGGCACATATCGATCGAGCCGCCGTCCAATTTGTCTTTAGTCACTTAAGTGCTGACGAGATCGTGAGGGGCGACGCGGCGCAGATCAACTGCAGCCCTGCTGCCATATACAGGGAGGTACCATGACCGGCTGCAAATTCAGGGTTCATTCAAAAATCCACTCGGCCAATATTTTCTTCGATTCTTACAGAAAATGTTTAGAGACGAAACTTAAAAATATTAAAAGGAAAATTGACCCCAAAGGCGACCTGGGGTCCGCGGCGGGTACACTTTAAAAACCTATGCCAGGGTTTTGTGTTTTGGACGTAACAAAACCCTATTAGGTTTTCCAAGTATACCAGCAGACCGTAGGCCGCCCTTTACTTTCTAGGTCAGACCTGGTCAGACCAAGACGAAAAGTGTCTTATTGGCCTGTGCCCTTTTCTGAGCTCGCGGAATCCAAGACGAAATTATTTTTCGGTCGACACTTTGACAGGTTCTCATGATTTATTTTGGCCGAGTTTTTCGGTTGCAAATATAATGGTTCAAGAGTTGAGAGGGGGACATTTGAACTGACAATGAATTTAATAAATATGAAAATCAAACCGACAGAGGAAGTCTTGGTTTGCTGCAGCTTTTAAGATTTTCTGCGCATATGGTCGCAGTAGTGTGCCTCTTGCTAATTTTACTTCTCTTATCACAGAGCGCATTTTGCCGCCGCTAAATTAAAATATCCTCATCATATGTGGCTCAAAGGTTGTTGTTTTTTGTTCAAACTGTATTTTTTAACATTGGCAGCCGAAGTAGTGATTTGTGCACATCAATTTTCAATTTATTATCTTGCGTCGTTTGACGGGGTCAAATTCATACCGCAGCACTCGTTGCTGCCATTCAATATTAATTTTGTGGTGGCAAAACATTAAATATACAAATCTTTGCTCTTTTGAAGGTGCTCGAAAATGTCATTTAAATTTGCTGAAATAAAATCCGGCTTCCTCGGTGGAGATGAGCAACTTTATTGTTTCTGCATGGTACAGAAAATCGCTGCTCCCCCTGAATAATAAAGCAAACCATTCCATTTTTAAATCCCCAAATCAGTTTCGTTTCGTCTTCCGACGAGAAAAGAGGTACGCACTTTTTCACACATTTCACAATATTGTGTTTTGTTGAATTTGCTTGGAAATTTTATTCTTAAAATTAAATTAATTCCAATATTTTGTATTTTAAAATTAAGGAGAAAAATATTGTGATTTAATTTTTAACAATTTTTTTGAATATAATTTGCATGTTAATTTTTCGAAATGTAATCGAAATTGGTTAAATGTCAGCTTATTTCAACAGCTCATGAATTAGGGTTGCAACCCGCAACCGAAACTAGTGAGCAGGGATTTTCTGTACCATGCAGAAACAATAAAGTTGCTCATCTCCACCGAGGAAGCCGGATTTTATTTCAACAAATATGACCACCTCGAGTGCCAAAAGGTTCCACAACAGCAACACTTCAAGAACCTATACAGAAACGTCATTTAAATTTTTAATTAGTTTTTCCTTTACTTTTCTGATTAGGCAACTTGCTTCGCATCTTTTATTGGGGCGGCCGGTGAAAAGCGAGCGGCCGTATTGGCTTGGGTGTTTTAAGACTCTACGCAGCGCGCGCTGAGAGGGATGAAAATTAAAGCAGCAAGAATGCGCGCTGTTGCAAGTTCGGCTTTCTCGAACGACTCAAAATTAACCATTAATTGACTTTCTCGAGAATTGATTTCAACTTAATTAAAGTTCAGTTTGCAATTTTGAAATAAATAACGCCCAATTCAAAACTGAAAAATAAACTTTACTTTCATTATTAAGTAAAAATAATTTCATATAAAAAATCATCGCCTTATTTTTTGTGACTTTTCGCACTTCCTCTCGAATAAAATTAATTAATTCCTACGCATGCAGTTTGTAGATTCTACTTTCTTCTTCTAATTTCTTATAGAAAATTGTTGCGCGGCGGCCACTCAATTATTATTATTTAGCCGCCAAGCGAGAGAAAGAGTGCCTCTCTCTTTGCTTGCGCCGTGCAGGCAAGAGAGGAGAGACACACACAGGGCTGGCTGAGGCGGCGAGCGAGTGAATTTATTTGCTGGCGCGGCATTTGATTGTTCTCCTTTTTAACTTTTATATTCCGTTTTTTTTCGTATGAATTTCTTATGATAAATACACATATATTTTAGCAGTAGGATTGTTTTTGCTTAACATTTGCTTGTGATTTGAATTTGATTAACAAATGTCTGCGATGCATTTACAAGTTGAAAATTGTAACTGATTGTGAGGCAGAGAGTTGAAATTCTGCAACAGAGAACAAGCGAATTTCCTCTCTGTCAAATATGGAATTCTTCGCAGCAAATTTATAATTTACCCTCGATTGATAAGGACGAAAAATACAATTTGAAAACGTTCGATACTGTGCTGGCAGTCGAAAGCACGGCATCGCAGTGGCGCGCTCTCCAGCAAATGCACCTCTTTAAAAGCAACATCTGTCGTCGGAATATGCTGTAAGAGCACGTCACCTACTATTAAAAATACGAAAAAAAATTGGTGAAGAATGAAATTCAATGAAATTATTTTGAATCTTTTTTATTAAAATATCTCAAATAATGAAAAAAAATAAAATGTTATAATGAATATTATAATTCCCTTTATGGGATTTTAATAATATAATTATAGCTGGCCTCAGATAGATGACTATGGTAACTAAAGAAAATTTAAATAATATGAGAGTAGGAGTATCTCAACAAAATGTTTTTTTTTTATTGAATAAAATAAATTTTAAATATCTTTAATTACATGAAAAATTAAAATCATCTTTAATAATTAAAATGAGAATTTGGCCTCATCTTTATAGATAAAAAAAAAAGTCTTGAAAGTTTTCAAACGAAGTAGAAAAACACCACAATGGTCATGTAGAGTGAAATCAAGAGACCGACAAAGAAGGCGATGGCCCTCGAGGGCTGTGGCACAGGGTAGTAGGCGTAGACCAACGTGTGGAGGAATCGGGCGGCGGTGAAGCCCCACACCAAAACGTTGGCCCAGGTGATGTCCGGCTTGGTCAACAGGAACAGGTACGAAATGAACAGAAACGCTGGGATGTTCTCCAAGTCGTTCAAATGGGCCCTTTCAAATAATAATATTTTAACTCAAAATTAATTGAAAAATTTTATATTTGGGTGAAATCGGGAAAGGATGAGGTGTAATTGGCAGTGAAAAGTTACCATCTTGATTTTCACATATGTTGTTGGGGTTGTTGAAAGGTAGCTTCTCCTAAATTTTCAGCTTAAAATATGGTGCGCTTTTCCGGGAAATCGGATTTTTCCAAAAACAGAAAATATTGAATATCTTTGCTAAAAATGAGTATATATGAATGCTCTCTTCACTACCAGACGTAACTTTTCACGCCCGACAACTTTGCTGTTGATTATTTTTGCGTAGGTCAAAGGTCAAGGTCACTAATTAGCAAATTTAACTTTCAAACGCAATTTTCGCAAAGAAGCACACCTTGGATTTTTTTCGTGATATACAAAAAAATGTAGCCCTAAGTGTGTAGAACAAAATACTTGAGTTTCAGATTGGTAACTTTTTCTGTTTAATTGATATTTTTAATTGAAAATAAAAAACTGTGAAAAATCACTTTTCCGCAAACGAAATTAATTTTCAAACAGCGATAATGTTTTTTCTGCTAGAGATACGCAAAAACATGTAAGTACAAAAAGTGTTTCTAATGACCTAACCTATCGAACCATGTATCGATCATGTAGGTCGAGTCACTTAAGGTCATTGACCTCAGTGACCTGTGACCTTGAAAAATGATTTTGCAAAATATTAGTTCATTAAATAATGAAAAAGAGTGCGCCTGTTTTGAAACGTTTCCAATTTTTTGCAATATCGTTTTTCAAGGTCACAGGTCACTAAGGTCAATGACCTTAAGTGACTCGACCTACATGATCGATACATGGTTCGATAGGTTAGGTCATTAGAAACACTTTTTGTACTTACATGTTTTTGCGTATCTCTAGCAGAAAAAACATTATCGCTGTTTGAAAATTAATTTCGTTTGCGGAAAAGTGATTTTTCACAGTTTTTTATTTTCAATTAAAAATATCAATTAAACAGAAAAAGTTACCAATCTGAAACTCAAGTATTTTGTTCTACACACTTAGGGCTACATTTTTTTGTATATCACGAAAAAAATCCAAGGTGTGCTTCTTTGCGAAAATTGCGTTTGAAAGTTAAATTTGCTAATTAGTGACCTTGACCTTTGACCTACGCAAAAATAATCAACAGCAAAGTTGTCGGGCGTGAAAAGTTACGTCTGGTAGTGAAGAGAGCATTCATATATACTCATTTTTAGCAAAGATATTCAATATTTTCTGTTTTTGGAAAAATCCGATTTCCCGGAAAAGCGCACCATATTTTAAGCTGAAAATTTAGGAGAAGCTACCTTTCAACAACCCCAACAACATATGTGAAAATCAAAATGGTAACTTTTCACTGCCAATTACACCTCATCCTTTCCCGATTTCACCCATTTAAAAATTAAAATATAATAGAAATATACTAAAATAATTTGCTTTTAAATATAAATCAAAATCATTCATAATTAAATATCAAATGTTACCTTCTGACTCTCTCAATATCAGGGTCTTCGGTGGTCGAAGGTTGCTCCTGGCCCATGAACCTGGCGTCCTCAGGGTTGGGGCTCACCTGCGGAATTGTTCGAGAAGATTAAAAGTTCGGATCGGTGTCCTTTTCTTGTTAATTATTGAAAGCGAGACCTTTTTCTTCATCCTGAGGATGCCGGTGGACGAGGCGACGAGGTACATTTTGAAAATCAGCAGGGCCGCGTTGGCCGCGTAAAGGCCGAGGTACGCGTCGTCCAAACCTGCGGCGGCCATCGTTTCACGCACAAGACACGCAACTAACTAAATTTAATATAATAGAAATAGCTCTCGGAAAAAGGAGAGTCCGTGGTGGGGCGGCAGGTGTCAAGGTCGCGACGATGCACTTGCCGCGGCTCAGGTAATATAGCTGCTCATCCTCTTTTTTTATTCATCTCCCTAAAACCGAGACCGCTGCAGAGATAGAAAAAAGGTGGAATAAACCGGAATAAACACACAATCGACGCGTCCATTTAAAATTCACCTCTTTTTCGTCAACATGTTGTATTTGTTATTTTCAATTAAAGACCACAATTTTTATAGAAACAAATAAAAATGTTTAAAAAAAATTAATTTTTGTTAAATACGATTCAATTTGAAGAAGTGAAATTTGCAAACCAATGATGATTTTTATTAATTTATTGTTACAAATTATTGAATGATTAATTCATAATTCATTGGGAAAGAAACATTTTTTTTATATTATAATTAAAATTTTTTAATGTGATTTATGAATTTGCTTTGTGAGAACTCTTGAGGCGCCGTTTAAAATATTAATTCAATCTACATCTGGACCAGTGCGTTGATGAAATAAACAAAGTTGGCGAAAATCATGAAAATCGTGATGGCCACGCCGACGAGGAAAATAATGGTCCTGGTCGGTTGCGGCAGCGGGTAGAGAGCGTAGATGATGCTGTGGCCGAATCGAGCCGCCGTGAACGTCCAGAAGAGGAAATGACACAGGCCCAAGTTGGGCTGCGTGTGGATGTACACGAAGGAGACGATCAGGAAGATCGGAATGTTCTCCAGGTCGTTTAAATGGGCCCTATTAAAACGAAAAATTGAATTTTGCATAAAAAAATTCAATTTAAAAATATTTGTACCTTTTGACTCTTTCTACGTTGGGGTCTGTTTTGTTCGAGGGTTCGACGCCCATCGCCCTTGCGTCCTCCGCGTTCGGGGTCACCTGAAATTGCGATTCAATAAGCGCCTTACTACAATGCAGCGTGTATTGCGCAGTTGTCAAGCGTGCTGCCTAACTTGCAGTTAGTCTCTGGCATTGAAAATCTCGAGAAAATATGAAAACAAATACTTATTGTAGAGATTTTTCAACTCCATTAAAGTATTTCTTTAATTTCAAAACACAAAATGAGGAATTTATTAAATAAGAAAAAACGCAATCTTAAAAAAATATAACTGTTGTCAACTTTTTCAGTGCAAATTTTTTACAAATTTTGGCAAAATTTAAAAAAAAATCACTATATCGGCGATTCAAAAGATCTAAAGAGACTAATTTCATTAAGAATGTCTATTTGGATTATTAAAATTTGATCAAACCTTTCTCAAGGTGCGCACCAAGCCGGTGGAGAAGGCGAGGATGAACATTTTGAGCACCAACAGGCCCGCGTTGAACGCGTAAATGGCGAAAAGTGTGTCCTCGTTCCTCATGTTCATCGCTGACTATAATGAAAATTCAGCCGCTCTCGGCAACTTGCCTCGTTTTACTGAATTATGAATTTGGGAACGTGGCCACAAAAGCTGGAATAAACTCCGCATCGAATGGCATGTGTTCGGCCTGGTCAATATTTTCCGAATGCTAATGAAGGCAAAGCTCGCTTTAGATGTTATGCAACCTTGCAACTCTCACGGACGTTTCTATACGAGTCGGTTGCGTGTTCCACCCTCCCTGCCACAAATGTAATTGATTGACGCATGCTCTTAGGTTAATTCGAGCATGACACAAATTTTCGTGCGCTAATTAATTCATCATTGTTCATTTATCGCAGCAAGCAAAAAATTAAAAATTAATTTCTTTTGTGTTGTGCATTTTCTAAAATTTTCAAAGTTTTGACGCAAACTAGGTCTGCTATAATTTAAGATTGCACTCTTTGATTTTTAATTTCATGGCTCAAACTAAGTGAAATAAAAAAGGAGAGTGAAGCATTAAAATGTGTGTAAAAAAAATAATACTTGTAAATAATGATTTTTTTTTTCAATTTTTTTACAAAAGCACATTTCGATTTTTGTTTATTTATTTAGAAGAATTGCGCGAAATAAATGAAGTTTCTGACAATCATGTAGAGCGTAATTAGAACTCCAACGATGAAGCAAATTCCCCTGGCCGGCTGCGGCACCGGGTAATAAGCGTAGACGGCGGTGTGGACGAACCGGGCGGTTGTGAACAGCCACATGAGCACGTGGCACTCGACAATGTCCGGAATCGTGTGAATCCAAACCAGGGAAATGATCAGGAAGGCGGGAATGTTCTCCAAATCATTCAAATGCGCCCTGTTCAATTATTTTGCTAATTAATTTTTTTGAATTTTTCAGCTGACAAATTCAAACCTTTTTACTCTTGCAACGGCTGGATGCTCCTCTGTGGACATTTCCATCCCCTTTCGTTTTGAATCTTCCTCATTCAAAACAACCTAATTTGCATGTATTAAAAAAGGCAAATTTATATAGCCAAGTGAAAAAAATTCACCTTTTTCGATCCTCGGACAACTCCAGTGGAAAAAGCCACGACGAAAAGCTTGATGACCAAAAGGCCCGCATTGAATGCGTAAATTGCAAATCGTTCTTCCAACTCCGTAGCCATCGCTGCTTATTCGATCCCTCTTGTTAGGCAATGACTGACAATTGGAATGTCTTGAATATTTATAAGGAAATCTCTAAGCATGCAGCGTGTGATTTAGGCCGTGCTAGAGTTTTTTCGCTTTGGATCGATTGGCTGATATGACTTGATAAGATAAGATTTGAATAATATCTGTCCCACGACTCGTCGTCATTGAAATTAGCAAAGAAAAAAGTGATTCACACAATCATATCATGTTGGTAGCAGTAAAATTAGCCTCGAATTTCATAACCACAGCGTGAAAATTTCTCAAACAAAACACACGTTTGAAAAAATTTAGGTGACAAAAAGGAACAAAAAACGTTTTGTATTAAATTTCTCAATAGCGCTTATTAATTAGATAAGGGATCAATTAAAAAATAAAAATTTTAATTGTTGTTCCATAGGAAATATTTTTTCACTCATATAGGATCCAGATTCAAGATACTTTTAATATTTTATATTAAATTTACAAATCTCTCTCCTATACATAAAATTGATTATGCGCTTGTATGATCTATTACGATTGATAACATTTGAGATAAGGTTTTGCAATGTATGGGCGAATCCAAATGATTCTGTCCAACTATATAAACGCAAATATGATTGGCTTCAATAAAAAGCGCTCGTCTGAGTTCGCATGTTGGTGGTCGTTCTCATTGACAGCTCATCGAAGCAGAGCGTGGCGGTCACTTATTTGCCTAACTTAATTTTTGAAATATTTCCTAACCTTTTGTAACAATGATGCAGCTCAAATTCAAGTGGATTTCATCAGATTTTGGAACCATTATTTAACATAATTTTTTTGTACGCTTCAAGATAATTATTGTTAAATAGGCAGAAATTGAATATTTTACTCGAACTGCGGAACTTTGAGAGAAATTGGCAATTGAAGTAAAAATAAAAAAAGGTTTGTTTCATTAATTAACTCAATCTGTCAGTTTCACAGTTCCAAAATTTAATTTCTACATAAATAATTTAAATACAATAAGGAGTGTTTTGCGTAGAATTTTTACAGGAATTGTGAAAAATGAATAAAATTCATAATTATCATGTAGAGCGTAATTAGAACTCCAACGATGAAGCAAATTCCCCTGGCCGGCTGCGGCACCGGGTAATAAGCGTAGACGGCCGTGTGGACGAATCGGACAATTGTGAAGAGCCACAGCAAAACGTGGCAAACGATCAAATCAGGCTTGGTGTAAATCCAAATCAGCGAAATTATCATGAAGGCGGGAATGTTTTCCAAGTCATTCAGATGGGCTCTGAAATTTAAATTTAAAATTTAAATTTTACTCCTGCAAAGTTTAAAAAAAAAAAAAATTACCTTTTAACTCTGGCAACTGCAGGGTGCTCAGTCGTGCTCAGCTCTGTGATTCTCAAAACTTTGGCATCCTCAGGATTGATGACGACCTACAAAATTGATTAATTATTATTGTCCTGAGTTAAAAAAAAATAAAGAATAAAAACCTTTTTCTTTTCTCGCACAAAACCTGTTGAAAAGGCGACGGCGAACAATTTGATCGCGAGAAGACTTGCATTAAAAGCGTAAACTGCAAATCTCTGCTGGAATTCCTCATCTTGTTCCATATTTGAGACGATCGCGTGAAGAAGGAAAAATTCGGTCGCCCTCCGCTCTTTTCAAGTGCCAAATTCTACAAATCACATTTATTTTGATGACACTCGCCGCAAGCATAGATAAAAAAAGTCAGATAAGAACTTTAGGAATCAAATATTTGGAAATCAGATTGGTTTGTTTTATACTGAAAATATTAATGGATTTTTATTTGTCTACCAGAAGTATTTGAGCACTTGCACGGACATGTAAAAAGTGATGATGATTCCGACGAAAAAGGAAAGTGCTCGCGCTGGCTGCGGCAATGGTTTGACGGCGTAAACGACGGTGTGCAAAATCCTGGCGGCGGTGAAGCTCCAGAAGAGGACAAATGCAACAAAGTAGCTGGGACCTGTCAAGATGTACAGGAAAGAGACAAAAAGGAATGCCGGGATGTTCTCCAGGTCGTTCAAATGCGCTCTAGAAATTTAAAATTAAGAGCAAAAATAATACAAGCCAATTTTGTCTTTACCTTCTGACCCTCTCAACGTCAGGGTCATTCATCAAAACTTTGCCCTTTGAGACTTTTGCATCTTCCGGATTGGCATAAATCTGATACATATCATTAAAACAAATCAAATTTATAACAATAATTAATGCACAGACCTTTTTGGAAATGCGGGTTTTGGACGTCAACAGAGTGACCCAAATCATTTTGAAAATCAAAATTGCAGCATTGCAGGCGTAAAGGGAGAGCAGCGAGTTGTCCCTGCTGAATTCAAAATCGTCGCCCATTTTCTGTGTTGATTGAAAATTATTTGCCGGTCAACGTGGAGGCTGCAGCTCTCAAATCAACTAACTGTTCGCCTCTCTTATCGCGTTTTCATATTTTCGACTCGCATTATCAATCTCAAGATATGAGATATGTTTTTATGAAGTTCTCTGTTTTATATCAAAAACAACAAGTTGATTTCTGCATTGAAATAAAATGTCAATTGAAAATATTCTAAATTTTACTATATTTTTTTATTTATTAATAATTGTTGTTTCTGGAGAATTACCAGAAGTGCTTGATGACTTTGGTGGCCATGTAGCAAGTGATGGCCAAACCGACGCCGTAGCAAAGCCCGCGAGCCGGTTGGCGCACGGGTTTGACGGCGTAGACCAGGGTGTGGCAAATCCTGGCCGCGGTGAAGCCCAAAAAGAGGTTCCTGGCCAGCTTCGGCTCAGGGTCGGTCAAGATGTACAGGAAGGAAATGCACAGGAACGGAGGAATGTTCTCCAGGTCATTCAGATGCGCTCTAAATTTCAATCAAAACCATTTAAATATATTATTATAATTTTGTCCAACCTTCGAACTCTTTCAACGTCCTCGTCAGCCGTATCGACCTGAGCGCCCTTAATTGCTTTCGCATCTTCAATGTTTGCGAATTTCTGGGAACGAAATTTACTGATAATCAAACACAAATAAAACGAACGAACCTTTTTGGAGTGGCGAATTTTTCCCGTCAATGCGGCAACTCCGAACATCTTGAAAACCAAAATCGATGCATTGCGAGCGTACAGGGAAAGCAAAGGGTTGTTGTTGCTAAGATCAAACGCCTCACTCATTTTGGAAATAATTTTTTTTCAACACAAATCGTGCGAATGATTAAAATTGAACTAAAGAAAGAGTTTTGGGGACTTTCGTGCACTCAATGTTTTTAGTGCTCAAAGAAGATAAAGGAGCAGATTGCGAGTTGTGCATTTGATTGGCTGATAATTTTACTGCAAACAAAAATTATTAACGCGATAATGTCTGATAAAAGAAAAATTCAGACAAATTTGATAAACACTAAAATTTATTTAGTCGTTTGATTTAAAATCTCTGCTCTAACTTTAAAAAAATAACGTTTTCAGAATTAGGAATTTATACCTAGCAGCCAGCAAAATCCTTCTTCAAAATTAAAAAGAGAATTGAAGAGGTTGTTCCAAGGCATTCACTGGAAACGAAATAATAACTAAATTGCATTGAAATTGCTCTGACCTGCAGCTGTGTTATTTTTAATTCAACAAGTTCAATGCGCTGTGATTGAGGCATAAAAGCAGGAAATTTGCATTTTGTACGAGAGCGTATATAAATTTAACGCCAGGCCTGTTATTACTCGCAGCAGCAGCACCTCCGTCCGTCCGTCTCTCTCTTTTTCTTTCTCTCTCCGCAAGTGCAGGAGAGGAAATCTCAAAATGATATTTACATTCGAACAAGTCGAATTTGCATACAAAACACGAGACGCAAGCTAGGGATGATGAAAAACGAGGTCTATGTGTTGCGCAAGTGCCATTGTTTCCATCGCGCCTTTGTTGAAGCTTCGGATGGATCTTGTGCGAAATGTTTCGGAAGCCATTCGCTGTAATTCGACTCGCATCAATGATTTAATTATTTTCGTTGGAGCTATTTTCCCATAGGTAACCTGAGTAGAATGACGACATGCTTGGTTGGTTAAATACAAACTTAACATTTAATAGGTACGTCGTGTAAATTACCTTCACTTTTTATTATAAAATATTACATTTAAAAGTACCAAAATTTTTTTTAAATGGTTTCCTTTTCATAAATATTTTATAATTAATTTTCCAATAATAAAATTAAAGTTTTGTTATTAATTTTAGAAAAATTGCCCAAGTTTTTTTTATAAAAAACTTAATTTGAAAATTTCTTGTCCTTACTTTAAATTGGCACTTATTTCTAAGTAAGTGTAGAAATGATATTTAAAATTGCATTAAAAGCTAAATTTTATTTGCATCCATCGCTTAAAATGAATTATGTTAATTTGAAATTATACAGATTAACATTTTATTGCTATAAGTAAATAAATTGCAGTGATTTAGATTGATTAGAGTAAAATGCTTATAAATGCTTTCAAAAGGTGAGAAAATTTAAAATTTTGTTGATGCCACTTGTTAAAAAAAAACTACGCCGGTAGAATGAAAAGTTAGGTTTTTGATGAAAAACATTGTTTCCTCTTTGATTTGACTCGATGACTTGGGCTTTGAGATTTTAATGCTTGGTTTGTAAACGTGGAGTTGTCAGTCAAAATCCCACACACCTTTTGCGATCAGAGTTGGGAGTTTCCTTTCGCCTCAGGTACAAAATGAGTAAAACTCTCTCCCACGCACACACAATGGCAACCTGCTGTGCGGCGGCCAGTTTTTTACACGCATTTGCCTTGTGAGACCAACCGAAAATAAACTCACTTTATTTTCTATTCATAGAAGAATAATTTTCAAAATCATAAATTAATCAATATTTTAAGTTGATTGTTTATTTTGTCCAAAGTTAACAATCAAATTATTGACATTAAAAGTGAGCAAGTTTTTATTATCGTTGTAAAATTTATCTTTCAGAGAGTAGTTAGAAATATTAACACATTTTTTTGGCTGCGGGCTGCAGCCAAAATTCATATTAAACTGTAAAATTATTTTGATTAAAAATTAGTGCACAGAAATTTTTAATAATTTAAAATTTCATCATCAAATTGGAATTTTGCAGTGAAAATTATTTAAATTTTCATTTTTACCCAGAATAAGTTTAACACAAAATTCGACTTTTATTTATTTATACAATTTAATCAAAATTCATGTAAATCAGAATCACGTCAGCAACACTGGCTGCGCATGAGAAGTGCATTGGATGGAAAACGTGAAGCGGCGCAGCAGCGGCAGCTTTTTTTTTGCTCGGCCGGCGACCGCGAGAGGCACCGCTTTGATATCAAGTCACGTGACCGCGGTGCGCACGCTCATTGTCGCGCCCCTCGCTCGCTCGCGTCTACCTGCGCGTGTTGATCTCAGGTAACCTCGGCCAGGCCAGGCCAGACATTCCTTTTACAGTTGTTGTGCCCGTCGCAGCGACCGTGCGTCTGTCCGTCTCCGTCGCCGCCACCCCGACTGCACCATCGACCACTGCACCGTACACGTCATGGAGGTACGTTGCGCACCCCCGCAGACCCCTTTTCCACCCTCGGTCTGTCGGCGCCGGCATTCCAAACTGCAGCTCCGAGATCAACTTTTGTCTGTACCGCTGTCAAAACACTTTTTCAATCGGACGGTCTTTCATTTTAAACACGGTTTAAGGAGGAAAACACCATTTTTTTTTAAATTTTTTTATTAATCACCGTGGAAAGAAGGCAAAGTAATTAATTTATTTATTTATGTTTTTCTTTTTATTTTTTTTTAATAATTAATTATATTTGCCTCTTTTAATCATAGGTACCAGTTTGAAACATTATTTTTAGTTTCTTTTAAACTGTATATTTGATTTGCTGAATATTTCAACCTTCAAACTTTGAATTAAAATTCAACGAAAAATTATTTGTGCATTTTTTTAAATTTTCAATTAATTCAAAATTTGCATAGCTTTTTTATCACAAATTTTCACATTACAAGTTTTTACCTAGTGAGATAAAATATTAAAATCTGTATAGCCTTCATTTTTTATTATTTCTTCTCTTCTCAAATTCCGAAAAAATTATAAGGAATAATTGTATCAGTTGATTCAATTTAAGTGAATGCAAAAAATAAGAAAAATATGAATGCATAAAAAAATGAAAATAACCTTTTTTAAATTATTTAATGTTTTTCAGCAGAAACGATTTACAGAACTTAATTTACATAATTGTCAACAATTGTCAATTCAACGCCTTAATTATTTTATTTACTTGTTAATTCTTTTCTTATCCATGTAAAATTGGGCTGGATTCGTTTTTGCGCGATTAAGTTTATCCTAGCAAATGTCACCTGCAAAATCCGACGCGCTTTTCGCTCTTTAATCAATGTCGAACGCAGCCGTGATTGTCGAACGCTGATAATTATTAATCAGCCCCACTCGCGAGAGCTTCTCCAAGGCGGACTTTCATCGCAGGTTTTTTTATTCTCATACACTGAGGGAAATATTTACTAACTTTTAAGTCATGGGCATTTGTTGAGCGTCAAGTAATGATTTTTACTGAATTCAACTCACTTTTTAAGTTCATATAAGAAAAAGCAGCAATTGTTATTTTTTGAATGAACAAATCGCTATTTGTTGAAGTAACTAAATGTTTTTACTGTATACAATTAAATTTTGATTGATTACTAGTAAATATTTTGTTGAATTCACCATGTTTTTTGATCAAGAATTTCAAGTAACACTGAAAGCTAAAGGCAAGTAATCAGTTTGTTGCAAGCAGCAATCTTTTACTAAAAACAAGTCAAAAATGACTTGAACGGTCCGAAACTGCTACGAGCGCCACCTGACTACGTCATTTCCGGCCTCATGGTCAGGTTCAGTTTAGAGGATGGCGGTGGACGTGCATCATGTCGGCTGATTATTTTCCAAGAAAATGTGGATATTTTGCGGATTCAGGCAAGAAAAACCTAGCGGAGGCATCAATTAAAGATATACCCATTGTTTGAAGGTAAGCACTCTAACAATTTAATGAGAAATGAGTAGTTTTAAGTTAAATATAAGAGAATTTACAAATTTCGACTAAACATTTTCCTATCAGATTAAAAAAATAATATAAAATGTTTTCAGAGGACGTATCAATACAATGGAAACACTTCTATTTCACAAATGAAAGGACTTCCCACTTCAATTGATTGACAAGAAAATTTTCCACCAAGTGAGAAACCAACTCTTACTTCAACATCCAAAATTTCCATGATCAGCACAAATTGGCATCATGCAGTGGTTCCAAATCAGCAGTATACCCTTGCGGACGCGCCAAGATAAGGTTTTCACCTATGTTTAATTTTCAATGTCAAATATTTGATACAATGCAGGGTCTTCGTCTTTGATGTTTTGTCAGAGATCCAGCAAATATGTACGTTAAAGTTTTTAGATTTCCCGCGCGCTTCTTGAAGTTGTTTGTGAATGTTTTGGACAATCAATAAATTTATTTGTTAAATGAAAACAAAATTTTCTTAATTCAAATTAAACCTTGAGTTCCTTCAAATAAATAGTAATTTGAACCAACTAAAAAATTAACTAAATATGAAGCACAGGAGGTTGGCAGTTTAGTAAAAGATGACTTGATTTAAGTCATATGATGACTTGACTGGAAGGCGCAACTGCAAAAATTCAACTCAATCCATGAGTTGATTCAAGTAAATAAATGAGTTGAACCAATGACTTAGGACAACAAAATATCATGACTTGAATTTCAAGACATGGGCATTTGTTGGCGCAAGCAATAAGCTGACTAGTCACAAAATCGATCAAAAAAGTGACTGAATTCAACTAAATATGACTTCATACAAGAAAATATTTCCCTCAGTGTACAATTTTATGCCGCGGATCAATACAGGTTCCAAAAATATCCCTCGCTCTCCCAACTCAATTCAAGCACACATGTTAATATTGATTTACCTTCTTTTCCGTGCAATAAATTGAGTCACGAACATTCATGCCGAACAAATCCATTTCCAAGATATTGAGAATTTCATTTTTTTTTTTCTTTGTAATTACAAATTTGAAAGTTTCAATTTGTTTTTTCTTATTATGAAAATATTAGAAGAAATCAACACAAGTATTTTTCACAGAATAATAAAATGGCAATAAAATTGTATTCATGCATGTTTCACTCTCGGGTCGGCGCGAAAACGTTTATTTTGTTTTATGGAGAAAAAAACAGTTAGTCTACTTGAGTGCAAAGAAAATTGCACGCACGTTTAATGCTCCTTACTTTGCTCGTGGGCGGCGGTGATGGTTGTCTTGAGGAAGTGCAAAATCGTGTGAAACAATTTGCTCAGCGTGATATCAAATTTGGAAAGGTCGGATTTAACTGTAAATAGGGTGAATTGAAAAGTCTCTTTCTTGTCGTAAAATTCATGAGCATCTCTGCAAATTTAAATCAACATAAAATGATTTTTACACATTAAAAATCTGATAAATAATTGAAATTATGCAACAATAGAAAACTCTTTTTCATAATAAATTGTTAATAATTTTCATATTAAACTAGCAGGAAATAATAATTAAATTTTATTGAACTCACGATATATATAAAAAAATGGCAAAATTAAATTTGAAAATTCATATATTTTCAATCAAATTTTTATCTTTTGTGATTAAAGTTTAATACAAAAAATCACGCACGTCGAATTTTCTTTTCCGGCTTTTTCGGTACATCAAGAAAGAAACAGAATTATTGCAATTAGCAACACACACGGCGATTGTGTTTCTCGTGATTTGTTTTGTTGGTCGCTTTTTGTATTTGACGCACGCCTGCGATGATAATTTTTCAGCGTACGTGGGAACGGATCAAACGAGCGTGTGTGTGTTGGTTGGATATCATTATTTCCGACGCTGAGTTGATTGTATTCTGATATAAAACGTGCATATCGATTTCTTTGTGTGACTCAGTGACTGGTCGAGAGAGAGCAAAAAGCTTTATTTTGCGCCGTACCCTTCTCTCTCTGCGCCTTTTAAGAGAACACTATGCTGGGCTGACTCACTGAAATTTTTATCTAAAACTAAAATGGTTGTTGCTTTATAGTTGAGTGGTGAAAATATAAAATCAAAAACCTCACCAAGGCGTGCAGATTCAATTTTTATCTTTATTATCTTCCATAATATTTAATCTTTCGCTGGTTCACAATTTTTTACCTCCATTGTGTGCTAAATTTGCAATACTTGATTATTTTTTGTAAGCATTCCAACAATACTTATTTTGCTCTTTTTTTAATTTCGCATTTAGTTCAATTGGATTATAATTATTAATATAGAACATTTTTAATTCAATATCAAGAAAGGAAGGATTTATTTTTATCAACGAATCAGATTTTGTCATTTTATATATTTAAATCACTCGCTTTCATTTGATAATAAATAATAATGCAAGAATTACTATAAGAATTTCACAAACAACGCTCATATAAACTAGAAACGAAATTTTCCACTCACGATGAAATAATTGCACAATTAACCTAAAAGAACGAAAATCTGGACCGAAATGCAGCATCTCTTATTTCTTTCTTTCTCTCTCTCTCTTTGTGTCACGATCAATTTCTCTCCGGCTTATGTATTTGAATGTTGGTCGCGGCCGAGCTGCTTAATCCGCCGGCAAATCTGCTTTCGAGAGAGCGCACGATCTCGCAAAGAATTACAAGAGAGCACAAAAGCCGAGCTGCACCATTATGTGCTTCACTCCAAGTTGGTCGCCAATAAAGTTCAAAGGTGAAATGTGGCTGACGCGGACGAATTTTCGCTCAAAAACTAGGGTAAGTTGAGAGATCGCGGCTCACCCCGGCGGCCACAGTTCACGCGCCGCAATCACATCCTTGACACACAAATCAACGCGAAATAATGCAATGAGCCGCAGCGACTCAAACTATTATGTTTCCAATCTTAGGAGATGGTTTATAATTGTTTTGTTCCTGCCGAGCTTCAATTTTCTTTAAAATTTATTGCTTTTTATTTTATTTAATTGGCTGCTCTCAAGTGGAACTCTTATCAAAAAATCTTTTTCAAAATCTTCAATTTTGAATGGAATAACTAAATCTTTTTGGAATTTATAAAACTGTAGAAAAAATTCACAACCATCAATGCCACTTTTCTTGGAAATTTATACAATGACCCCCAATTTTTTGGTTTTATAAAAATTTATCCTTAAAGCCGAAACTATTTTCTGTGGAGGATTTTGCTGATCTGATGTGGTTTCGTTTTCCTTTGATGATAAAAAAATTTCAAAATCTTATATTTTGAGAATTTGGAATAATGATAAATAATAATATATCAAAAATATGATCTCATTAATTAGGAAAGCATGTCTAATTATTTTTAAATTCGCTTATAAATTGGGATTAGATTTTTTGCTTACGCCTGTTCCTTGAGTAAACTGAAGTCTGAAAATGTTTGCGCATTCTTTGTTGGATGACGATATGAAAAATTGATAGTGGCATATTTATAAATTTTATTGTGTGTGCGCCGAGCGAGGCGAATGAGGATGCGTGCGTGTGCGGAGGAGCAAAAAGAGCATCTCAGAAAATTAGCCGCTGCAGGCAAGTTCATTCACTCGAGAGAGAGTAAAACGCGCGTTTGGTGTTCGCAGACTGCCGGCCTGACCGACGAGAGCAGCCGTGAGTGATCCGCAGGGCAAACCGCTGGAGGCTGCGGGGGCGGCATGACCCACAATGCAGCCCCGAACGGACCCCCTCGAAAGCTACTATGACCTCGGCGAAGAAATTGGAAAGTAAGTTTCAATCAAATTTCAACGATTTCATCTCTAAAATTTCATTTTAAACAATTTTCAATAAAATTTTCAAAAAATTTTATGATCATTAATATTACATTTTTAATTAATTTCAAGTAAAACTGTATAAAAATTTATTTATCAATTAAATAACTTTTTATAAATTTAAATTTGAATTTCATTTTTTTAATGAAGCTTCAAAATTTTTTTAAAGGAAAATATTAAATTAAAATTATTTGATTTTATTGAAATCAAATTCTTTTGGTGCAGTGGACAATCAGCGGTGGTGCGTGTGGCCGTGGAAAAAAGCACCGGGCGCACTTTTGCGGCCAAGGTGGTGCGGAGGCGGCGCAAGGGGGCGGGCGACGAGCGGCGGGAGGCGGCGGTGCTGGCCTCGCTGCGCCACCCCAACGTCGTCGGTCTGCACGAAACCTTCCAGCAGGCGCAAAATTTTGTGCTCATCCTCGAATTGTAAGTTGCGGGCGCGGAAGGTGCGAAAAAGCAGCCGAGCGTGCCAATCAAATAATTACAAGTACAAAATTTAACGAGCGTTTTGACTCAAGAGTGGCTGGCAGCGAGTTGGAGGAAGTTTTGGCGGCCCGCGGCGGCGGCAAATTGCCCGAGACGCAGAGCATTGACGTGGTGCGCCAGGTTCTCAACGGCCTGCACTACATGCACTCCCAGGGCATTGCTCATCTCGATCTTAAGGTAAACAAAAAACATCAATCGCAATTCTTCTCACAATTAATTTCATTTACAAGTACTTTCTGCCTCTTCAAGACAATACAATATTATTTCCCCTTTTTTAATTTATTCATTTCTGGCTTCATTCGATCAATTATTTTCAAATTTTCGAATAATTTCAGCCTGAGAATGTGATGGTGTCTGGCCAGGACCCGCCGTGGCTGGTGAAACTGATCGACTTTGGCCTCTCCAGAGAAGTTTCTGGCGGAACCGAACGAGCTTTGCAAGGGACCCCTGAATTTTTAGCGCCCGAAGCAGTCAATTTTGAGCCTTTGTCTCTCGCCACTGACATTTGGGCTGTCGGAGTCATCACATATCTTTTGTATAAAACCTTTGTAAACAATTTTTTTTTAAATTAACAAGATTTAAATTCCAGACTTACAGGCTTTTCCCCCTTTTTGGGCGAGGACAAGCAGTCCACGTTTTGCAACATAGTGGCCGGTGATTTTGACCTGAGCCAAGAGCGATTTGAAAACGTGTCCAATTTAGCAATCCAGTTCATTTCACGCGTTTTGGTCCAAGATGCCAGGTAAAAAGAAGGGATAAATTAATCCGAAAAGAAATTGCTGAAAATAATTTTGAAATTGCAGAAAACGTCCAAGTGCATTGCAGTGTTTAGATGATCCTTGGTTGAAATCAGAAGTTGTCATGTTGAAGACCATCGAGCAGATAGACTGTCAAGTTTCAAAGACGCAGAAAAACGTGGGCAGATATTGGAAAGTAAGAATTTAACACTGAAATTAAAAATTTTCTCCACCTCTTCCCATACGATAAATGTAAATTTTCTCTTCACTGACTTATTGGTTTAATTTTTCAATGAATGAAAGTGATTTGGTGAAAATTCAATCCATCATCTTAAATTTGTCCTTTTTTAAACTCACATTGCTTCAAAGCAATGCTACTGCAGAGAAGAATCAAAATGAATCGTGCTTATTTAATATTTTATACAAAAAAAATCTATAGTGGTGAATCATGCTTTGATTTCAGATTCTCTTTCATGTGATATCAGCATCAAGATTCATGTTTGCCACTTTGCCCGTGAAGATGAGCGAAGAAAAATTCGTGCAGGACAAGCCGGAGAAAGGCGACGGCGGACAAGTGGTGATGATCGAACTGGTGCCCACGTTGATCTGTGATCTCGTAGTGAATTGTCAAAGTGGCTGCAGCGGCGACTTGAAGCCGCCGCTTCTTGTGCAAATCGAAAACAAACACGAAGAGACTGAACTGGGAGCGTCGTCGTCCGAGAACGACTTTTCCAGCAGCGCCGTCACCAGCAGTGACAGCGAGCAGTGCCAAAGCCTGGACAGCGTCGTCAAATCGCAAGACGTGCCAATTTTCAAGCAGGAATCAAAGGCAGAGGAGACGTTTGTGCAGAAGATCGTCTCAGTCATTGCGAGTTTAAAGAAAAAGGTAAGAAAATTGTATTTTTTTTTTCTGTTAATAATTTATTAGTTTTTATTGAGTTGTGTAAAAGTCAAATTATTCCAGTTTTTGTTTGAAATTTCCAAAAGAAATGTAACGTGGATTCAGAAACTGAGCTTGGGAAATGAATTACACTGTCCAAATTTCAACTTTTAATTGAAAATCTTGTTTTTTTTCAAAACAGAAGTCATATTCTGTGTTTTGCCATTTGTCTTGAATTTTAACTTTGAAATACAAAAATTAATTTATTGGAAACAGAAATCCAAATCTGTCTTGGAATTTTTATTTATTTCCCATAAAAATTAGTTCATTTTGTTTTCCCACTCGGTTTCTGAATCAAATTCGAATTTGATTTAGAAACAGTTTCTTTTATTTACTTCACTGAAAAGCGACTCCTTTGATAAACGCCGACTGGAATAATTTCAAATCCCAATCACGATTCTTTCCGGTTTGAAATTTATTGTTTTGATTCGGCCAAACGAGACGAGTATAAAGTTGCCCAACCAGATATATTCGGAGAAAAAACCGGATGATCCATCTAAGGCACATGAGACGCGCGGTTACAAAATTTTATTTGAACGCAAAGCCCATTTTGTTTGATTCTCGGCTGTGAGACGCGCATTCCCGAGTTGTTTTCCAATAAATCAATGTCACGCCTCCACCGCCGCAACCACTTAAACACAAAATATACGGACGACGCAAGCAGACGCGAACACACATCAAACATTTAGCCTTCTGCCGAGAGCTACATCGACCATGCAAGCAGCATTCAAAGATTTACGTATTTTTTAGTTTCTTTTATTTCACATTTATTCTGCAATTTGTTTGCCTGGATTTTTTTCAGTTGTAATAATGTTTAATAAATTTTCTTCTTGTAAAAGAGAGGCTTTTGCATATAAATAAACAGCCCGATTAATTTTGATGCCAATTTTTCTTCACATTATCATTGTTTTTTTAGATGTAAAGTTCCTTGAGAAAAAGTAAAGTCATTTGTTAGAACTGAATTTTTGGAAATTTTGTTATTTGAATTTTCTAAAATGACTATTTTCTCAGAATTGGCCAAACCAAAATTGATAAAAAATTTCACCAAATCACGCTCAAATCAAACAAATTAAGATGGAAAAATAAAATCAATAGGTCAGTCGACATAAGAAAACGGTTCAGAAGTTTGAATTTCATTTAACTCCTCCTTAGCTACTTTGTGTGTCAATTAAATGTAAATAAAATGGCATCATCACAGCCTAAACCTTATATGCAGAATAAATAATGTTTCAAATAGAATTACTCAAAGCGTAAATAATGATATTTAAGGCCATAAATATTATGCATTTCAATGCCGAGGGAAACTACTTTGAAATTCCATAAAAGTGCTTCCGTGACTGAAAGTCTTCATGAATTTTATTAACGCGAAGCAGTCTTAATAAAACCGGATTGGATCATAAAGGCGCGCGCAATAATAGGCCTTTTGATGGGCCGCATCTCTGCTTCCTGAATAACAAAATTGGAGCGAGAGCAATCAAAAGGGATGTTTGCCCCCAACTTATGAATGTTGAAGAGGCAGTCGTCGTCGTGATCCCCGCTTCTTATTTCAACTTGATGTTTTTGCTGCTCGGCCAAAGTTTAGATAGCAAACGAGAGCAGCTATCCTTGTCGTGAGGAAGGAAAGAAACCCTTTTATAATCACACGGAGGAGACGACGAGCGCAGAAATAAAATTTGTTCTTGGAAAATTCCACCCTGGTTCCAGAATCAGAAAAAAACGTTCGCAGAAAAAGAAGTTCTCGTGGCGTGAGCAATAAAACTTATGTTCTAGAATAAGTCATCGCACGTACACGACTGCAAAGAAAAAGCGAAACAATTTTTACACCACGCAACCGCAATCCTATAAGTGCAAAAATATCGAAGAGGGCATTCATTTCAAAAATTTCAATCAAGGTCAAAATTTGTCTGAAAGTGACCTTGAACTGGTCAGTACACGTTTGTTCACCTTTGAGAAGTTGTTTAGAACTTTTTTATCTCACATAGAAAATTTAAATTTAATTGGCATATTTGGTCCTCAGCCAGACATATTTGCAGGAAATGAAACGTTTCTGACAAGGCCAGCCAAAAAAGTTTTTGCACGCAGCAAGAAAAGTTGTGACTGTTGAACCAGGGCCGGCGTGAACACGAAATCCACGTTGGAATAAATTATTCAGAAAATCGGAGCGAGGTCCTCGATTATTTCATTGAGGATGAATTTGTTTCGCCGGCAGCAAAGAGGTCATGCACGCATATTGTGGCGCGCCGGCTCAGAAACAGGGGCGATGGATGGATCGATGCGCACACGCCGGTCGCTTCCACCCTTATACGCCGGGGGTGTCTCCCAAGCTGTGTGTCAGATGGTGGTGCCGAGCTGAGGGCGACGGACATGTTTGGTTTTGGCGCGTGACGCGCTGCTGCACCATGCACTCTAGTTAGCAACAGTCCAGGCAGGCCAAGTTCAAACAATCCAAGATGGTCGAGTTGGCCTCCGACGTCCTCAGCCAGCAGGTACACTTTCACCCCTTTCACCCTCCTCTGCGCACACAAAAAGTCGACTTCACTTTCCATTTTCAAGAGCCATCAAATATTGAAACTATCCTCCTTGATTGATCAAGATTTGTGGTTTATCCAAATTTCCTGGCCAATTTGATTGATCGAAGTGAATCGGATTATAAATGACATTATTACATTACATAATAAACAGGGTTTGCTTGGGGGGGGAGGGGGGATAATCTAATTGAAACGTCCTTTAACATGATCAACACTCGCAAGTTATGGATTTTATGCAACTCGCTCCACCGGGGGGTCGAGCACGTTGCCTACGCTTAATTTGCTCACCATGGCGAATCCACTCTCGTTGTTTTTAAAAAAGGAAACGACATGCAAGGACCACTCAATGACCCTCACTCTGGAGGGCCCTTTTCAAAGTAAAACACATCCCAACAGTTTTATTTTTTTCTTTGCATATTGAAAGTGGACGCAGAGCTCATCAAAACGCAATAAAAGACGTAATGGTGGTTCATTAACGAAATATATATGCATATCGCTAAGTGAATGTTCGTTTACACCACACCCTCGGGCGTCGCGTGCACAATGCCATTGACATTCAATAAATTTCCCTTTTTATGCCTTGTGCGTGGCGACATTTAAATTCCGAATGAAAATAGCACCACTCTAAGTGGAACAAAGTTATCTCAGAGTTGCTTAAAAGGGATACAAATATATTGAATTATAATTTCAATGGGACTTACAAAAGGACCACATTTCAAAAGTTATTCAAGCATGAATATAAATTTTCATTCAATAAACACAATTTCAAACGATTTTGGTTTAAAATTTATAACAAGATTCAATTATAACAAAGATTGAATTTAAAGTGTTAAAAATTATCTTCAACCAGCTAAATTCCCATAAAGAATCGAATGAAATTACCTGGACGAAATTCTTTTCTTCAAAATTTACGTCAAAAAAGCATCAATATTAAATTAATTTAAATTAAACGTCCCAATACTAATTAAAACAAAATCTATGGCCAAGTTTGATGATTATTTGTATAGCAAAAAACATGTGAATTTAATTTTTTTTTAAATTTATGTTTTTGAAAATGGTTTTAGGACTCGGTGACCCAAGAGGAGACGGACGATGAGGCGATGAACACGGTCATCACGGAGGTGACCGAAGTCAGTGACCAGGACCAGACCCCTGACCTGGGCTCCAAGGAGAACCTCGAGGGCATCCTGGGGGGCGCCGAGTTGGAGGCGAGCGACTCGAGGGGCGAAACGCCCATTTTCTGGGCAGCGCGCCAAGGAAATGCAGAGGCGGTTCGACTCCTTTCGGCCGCCGGAGCCAAGATCGGCGCCCAGAATAAGGTCTCAGCATTTTCTCTTTAACCCGCAGAAAGAAATAAATCGCTTCTGCCCCGCCACGCATGGCTTGGCAAGAAGCATTTTATGCGACCGCGCTTAAACGCAAAAATTACGACCGTTGTTTCTCGTCTTGTCAGTTCGGGCAAATCAAAATGTATTGCGAGCCAAATTGGCCGCATTTTTTCCTGAATGTCCAGCAAATGAACGAATCTCTGTACTTTTGCAGTTGGGAGAAACTTGTTTGCACGTGGCTTGTCGATACGGACACGCTTCTGTGGTCGGCGCACTTTGCTTACTGCCCTTGGACCTCGACCACCGAGATATGGTAAAATACATTTTCAATTTTAAAATACTTAAAAACTTTTAGTAAAAGAGCATTAATATTATTGTTTCTTTACAATTAATTTTGAATTTTCTAAATCGTTCTTTAGTATTAAAATTTACTTCAGATTTCAGATTTATCAATATTGTGACAGTTTTGGTTAAAAAAATTAGAAGAAATTAGTTCTAATTTGAGGTATTTTAGTATTTTTTAAATCGTCATTATTAAAATTAATTAATAAACATAATTTTACGAATTTTATGCGAAATTTCTTAAAAATTTGTGTTGGAATTTTTGTAGGAGGGCGAAACTGCTCTGCACGCCGCAAGCGCCAGGGGCCACAGTGAGTGCGTCCGGCGCCTGGTGGACGCCGGCGCCAGTTTGGACATCCAGGACAAGCGGCACAAAGCGACGCCCCTGATGCTGGCCATGCGGAGACACCACTCGAGGGTGGCCCTGCTGCTGCTGCACGCCGGCGCCGACCTGGAAACGCCCGACTGGGTCAGCGTCCAAAAATTATTATTTTCTAATTAATTTATTTATTTTTAAATGGACAGGTCGGAGACACGCCGCTGCATGTGGCGGCGTACGAAGGCCTGTTGTCGGTGGCGCAAACGCTGTGTGCGTATGGCTGCAAGGTGGACTTGCCCAACGAGGCTGGGCTGATGCCACTGCACGTGGCTTCCAGGAAAGGCCACACCGAGATTGTCAGGTGCGATTTAATATTTTAAAATGAGGAGAATCCATTTCATTTTTTTTTTTTTTATAAACAGACTCGAGAGTAAATAAATGAAAATCCATCAGAACGTCTCAAAATAATTAAATAATTTCAAATTCTTTCCAAAAATTGAGATCCATTGCGGGGTTTTCATTCAAATCTGAAAAAGTTAAAAGTAATTAATTAAGAGGAAAATGGGGAATTTAAAAAGAAATAAGGAACTTTTATTTACTTTTTCAATTCCCTTTTTCCCTAATTCATTACTTTTAACTTAAACTCAAATTAAATGAAATTTAATTAAAAGTTTTAAAAGCACCGAAATCTCTTCAAAATGTCTCCTCCTGAAAAGGTACAAAATTCATTTTTTGTTTAACCAATTTTAGTTGATTAATTTCATTGTCATTTGTTTTGAAAGAGGAAATTGACTATTAAAAATATGTTTGCAGGTGTCTCTGTTTGGCTGGCTGTGACGTGGAGAGGAGAAATTCTGACGGTATAAAGGCTGAAATCACCGCTCTGAAACACGGGCATCAAGAGGCAGCAGAACTTCTGGCTCGGCTAAGCAACGTAAGAAAAAAATCATGTGCATCTTATTAAAATTATCGATTATGCAGATGACTTGCATGTCTTGCCGGTTGCATAACTTCAAATTTATTTATTCACAGAAATGAGATAAAAAAGTAGCATATTTCGATGCTGCTATTTATGTAACGAAAAAATGAATTCATGAATAATTCAAAGGCGCGGCAACGGGACGAGTTCATCCGCCAATTAGTCCCTGGCACTCATCCAATATCCAGATTGACCATAAAACTGCTGGGCCACTGTGGCGTGGGCAAAACGACGCTGCTCGACACTCTCGGTGCCGGTCTGTTGGCCAGTTTTTTCCGAAGGAGCAAAACGCCGACTGCCTCTATTTCTGGTGCGAATAAAACATTCACTCTTGTCGTAAATTTTACTGAACATTGAAAAAAATTACAGGTCCCAGCTCGCCCAACAAGACTCATATCGAGATGGACGTCACTGTGAGCACAAAACCCGAAGAGCTGACTTTTGACACCAAAGGCACCGTGGACGGAACAAGAGGCGTCGACGTCAGAAATGTAAATTATCTCGATTTTATGCACTGAGCAGATTTTTTTCCAATCCTGCAACCTTTTGGCAGGGTCAGAATATTGGGAAAAAAACTTTCAATTCCTTGTAAACCTTGACAAGGTTCTCAAAAATATATTTTTTTTTACATTCTATATTTTGCTAATGAAAATCGGCAATTTTGATTAAAAAATAAAAAAAATGGATTATTTCCAGTTGTCTGTCGCCGGGGTTGGAGAGGTGAGCGCGTGGGAGTTGTCGGGCCAAGAGGCCTATCTGTCGTCGCACCACATCTTCCTGACCTCGCCCCACACCGCGCTGCACCTCGTGGTCTGCAGCTTGGACGACCCTCCTGCGACCAGGCTGCAGCAGTGTCTCTTCTGGCTGTCCTTCCTCAAGGCCAGAATCGCCACCCTCGACCCTATTAAATGCGGTGGAGCGCCGAGGTAAGGCAGCAACAAATTACCGTACAATTAAGCGGTTTTAGTAGAATTCTCTTTAATAACTTAATCTTTTCAAAATTCAAAAACTAAATTTCACTTATGTTTTGATTTTTCCCTGTAATGAAGAATTTTTTTTAACAAAACTAATACTCTGAAGGTTAAAACATATATTTTACAGTTAAATTTTGAGTAAATATTAAACTGTTTTCTATAATATAATTTGTATGTAACGTATTATGAATTCTTCTCATTTAATTTATCAACTTTGATTGAAATTTGCAGATGGCCAATCAGGGTGATCCTGGTTTTGACGCACGCCGACAGCGCCCGCTGCCCGAAGGCCCAGAGTGGGGAATACGTGAGCAGCGAAGCCCAATGGCTCCTGTCCCAACTGGAGCCCCAAGCTGCCCCTGCACTTGCCCTTCACCCCGTTCCTCTGGTCATCGACGCACACGTGGCGGGATCGCCTGGCATTCGAGCCCTCAAAACCATCGTGAACGACTCCAGACAGCAACTCCTCCAGGTGAATATTATTTTATAAAATCTTATTTCCGCAGCATGATTTTATTCGAATTTTTAACATTTTATTTTGCATGAAATTGAAAAAGCTTTGATAATTTGCTCTTGTCAAACTTTTGTGTTTTTTGAATTAACAAAATATATATTTTCAGGATAAGTTGTGCACGAAGCATGGTATTTGTGATAGCATTAGCAACTACTTGTTTTCACTGGTAATTCTGTCATTTTTATCTTTTCTTATATGAGCTCCTCTTCTTCATCTTTCTTCTTTTTGCAATCAAAGCGAGATTTAGAAGGGTGCGCGGTGGCTTTCCAAAAAATAATCAAATGTGTTGGTGCTTCTGCATGTTATTCAGGCTCAGCCGCTTTCAATCGAATATAATAAAATAAACGGTGCTCGACCCAGCAACGCGCCCCGGTGCAGTCAAGCAGGGTCGGCCGAGTATTCGCCAGTTAGTGAGTCAGACAGGGAATTCGTAGATGCAGGACCCGAGTTAAGTGCACGATCAAGTACACACAGGCTCACACCACACATGCTTTATTTTTTTTTTTTAATTTTAAAACATTTTTATACAACATTTAGATCTAGTTCTGTTGTTTTTGTAAAGTAAATAGTAAATTTAAAAAAAAAATATTGGAATTACAATTGATGGTAGCTTTTTTAGTACAATTTGGGATTTTCACATTAGATAAAGACATGATTTTCGAACCAGTTTAGATTAAAAATTGAGATTATTTTAGAACTTCTCCTGCTTTTTATATTTAATTTGTTGAGTGCTTGTTTTCTCTATGAAATTGATATAGATGTTGGAAAACTGTTCTTATTTATTTCAGTGCTTTTTTCAATTAGTTTTTGTACCATATTTTCATCTCTTTGAAATTGCAGATGTTTTTTGGCAAATGTCGTCAATGTGAATTGAACTTTGCAGTTGGTACCAAGAACATCAGGCTTGTTGGACGCCACCCTGAAGTGGCTCCAGGGCTGGAGAAGGGCGCACAGCGGCCTGCCGGTGGCCCAGTGGGCAGGTTTCGTCCAACTGGTCAGGACGAACGTCAACCCTTTGACAGGAGAGGAGCACCTCAAGGAACTCCTCCACCAGTTGTGCTACATGGGAGAAGTGAGCAATCAAATTTATTAATACTTAATTTGAGCAAAAATTTAAACAGGCACTTTGGCTGAGAGAGTCGGGATTGGTGTTTCTGTGCCTGCAATGGCTGGGCAATGAACTCCTCGGCCAGCTCCTGTCACCAGAATCGATGGCGGCTGCCAGGGTCACAGGGTGCTACACCCCTCTGGACTTCAACTCGGCCTTTCCGCAACCGGCAGACCCAAATTTAGTCCTGCATGTTTTGGAATCTCTGGATTTTTGTGTCCAGGTAAAAAGAAAATCTTTTTTAAATAGTTAAATTTTTTAGAGTAGAATATAAAACTAAAAATTGATTAATTGACTTTTTTTTCAATTTTGCAGTGTGAAAATGACGGTGAGATCGAGTACGAGTTTCCCTGTCTCAATTTCATGGAGACCATCGACGGCCTGTGGGACCCCGCGGACCCCCGGTACGTGGACGGCGTGTATTGCGGGCACCGGATGAAGGTCCCGGCAGGCACCTCACCTTACCTGCTGGCCACCCTGTTCCCTCGAATCCAGGTCCAGCTGCGCAGAGCAACTCAGGGTGCTGCAGACCCAGACATGGATCTGTACCAATGGCTGCACGGCTCAAAACTCTGCTCGGGACTGCTCGAGAGCTTGGTCACCCTGGAAAGGGGTGGCCACGTCGAAATCAAGGTTCGAGGACCGTCGCACATGAAGAGCAACTGTTTTTACTTTTTGGAGGAGATCATGGCCATTTTCGAGCAGGTAAATTCATTTTATTCAAAGCAAAATTCCATTTAGTTAACTATTTTGGAATTTAATAGATTTTTCATAAATTTTTTTCTAAACGATTTCCAAAAAATTGAATCATTTTTAGTTGTTTTTTGAGTGTAATTTTGCTTTGTAGGTCATTCTGTGTGTGAGTCCTGGCCTAACAATGGAGCACCGAGTGATCAGCGCAGCTCAGCTGAGAGCCCACGCTGCGAAACCGACGAATTGGCCCTCCGAGGTCGTCCTGGAAGCCGCCCTGACCTCAGACAACTCGCCCCTGCAGGCGCAACTCACAAACCCCGCCACGAATGGCCAAGAAATCGTGCTGGACATCTTGGCCTTCGGCGCGTCCCAGGTGATGAACACGTTGGTGCTCGGCTGCGACCTGCCCTTCGCCTTTCTCGGGCCCAGCGCCAGACAGGCCCTGAGCAAGGCCCTCGACCCGCAGGACTCGCTCGGCCGCGACTGGTGCTTGTTGGCGGTCAGTCTGGGTCTCGGAGAGCGACTGGCGGCCTTCGAAGGGGCTTCGGCCTCCACTAGTCCTACTTTGAAGCTCCTCGACGAGTGGGGAAGAGACAAAGGAGCAACCATAGGTATTCATTTCAAAATTTCTAAATGCTTTTTATTTTCACATTAAAATTGACTGCAGGGGCGCTTGTCAAAAAGTTGAAGGAGCTGGGCAGGGAAGACGTGTCCCAGCAGCTTCTCAAACTGGCCCCGCTGTACCGGGTGCTGCCGTCGGACGAGTGCTGGTCGGACGAAATCGAGTCCAACCCGGACGAAATCCTGGACACCAGTAGCTCCAATTTATCTCGGTGACCTGCAGGTTGAGCTGCGAATCAGGCTTGAATTGATTTGGAAATTGATGCAAACTGGCAGTCCGAACTGCTAGCAAGGCTTCCTACTCTGTAAAGGAAGCAAAAATCGAAATGTGGAGTGGCATCCACAATAAGATGAGCAGTTTTGGCGCATCAAACTTACAAACCATCCACTGCAGTAATAAAAGCATATTCTCTGAATTACGTATGAGAATTGAATTTAAAAAATCCATCCAAAGGAGTCTGTATTTCAGCTACATTAAAAGTGTTTGGATGTTTCTATCCGTGGAATTATCTTTTGTCGTAACAAAGATGGTGAAAGGGAATGTGGAGAATTTATTATGCAACAATAATAAGAAACTGTCCTTCTGTGATGCTTTGCACGTCTAAACTTGAAACATCTAATGTATTAAGACACACACTCAAAATTTGGTACTTGAAGAAAAGTGAGCCTCTGTCAATTGATAAATATTGCCTGCGGAACTAAATTGTTGAATATATAATTTGAAATTTCAAATGATCTCATATTTGAATGTATACTTGGCTGGTGTTAGCTTAATTAAGGACGAGAGTTACATTCACAGCTCAAATTAATTAAAAAAAAACGTAGATTTTACAATAATCCATTGTTAATTAATTGAATAAGCAGTTAATTTTAATTACGCCCTGAGCATATTTAAGCAGCGCTGGCAAAATTTTCGTTTGTGCAGCACATTTTTGCATGAACATGAAACAAACACAAATGCTGTATTATCCCGATAGAAATTTATGCTCATGTGTACTGTGCGCTTTTGATGTGAAACTGTTCCCAACAAAACTAATCCATTATTCATAAACAAACACACTTCCAGCCGAACCCACATATGAACAAATTAATTTGTGCTTTACGACCATGCGCGGTTTATACGAATTTACAGGCCTACACAGCAACGCGGTTTCCACTTGGTGCCGTTTGATTAAAACAATTTGAAATTTGTCACTCGAATTATATAAAAATGATAAGTTAATCTGTCTGTTTGTGTATTTTTGTATCTGATATGATTTTGCAACATTTGAATGTGCAGCAGTGCGCTGAAAACTATACTTCTAGGTTAAGAAAGAAGTGAGGCTATACAACTTAAAACAAAATAATATGAAACGAAATTTATACATTTTTATTGTTAATGTTAATGCACGGATGCTTCGCACAAATAAATATACATAAATCATGGACTAATACAAATGTATTGAATCATTTTTTTAAATAGAACCTTCTGTGATTCTAGTCAAAAGGGAAGAAAGAAAGTTGGTTAAAATATTAAACTAAAAACGATCTTACTAAAAAAAATGGCATTTTTGTTATTATTATCTAATGTTTCATTTAATATTGACAAATTTGAATAACAATTTTTTTGTAATTTATTAACTTTTAATATTAAATAATTTATATTTAAAATTGAAGACGAGTCATAAATTCATGGATGATTATTTAAATTTTCTGGTTTTATTACTAATTAATCTGCAGAGATGAAACAAAATTTGAACAATGGAAACTCAGTGACAATTATATTTATCTTGAATACAAAATTTACACAAAGTGAAAGCTGCTTCCGTGCATTATTTCTCTTCGGGGCAGGCAAAGGGTGAATTCGCATAAATCTCGCTTGTCGCTTGCAATTTATGCATCAGACCTGCGAGACAAAGCGGCGATTTCATCTCTGCAGCCAACACACACACACACTCATGGCCACATTATCAGCTATATTTTCTCATTAAGCCACGCCAGCCGCGCTAAATAAAATTATTGCGCGCGTCTGCAAGGGGTCTGCGCTCCCTGCTTTATTCAAAGTGCACTTCGCAGCCTGTTCCGGAACGACGACGCGCGGGGTGAGCAAAACTTGGTGTAATCATCACAAAAGCAAGACCTTCTCGGATAACTGAGGTCTGTGTTATTTTCGCATGGGTACCTCCTGCAAAGTGTGCAAAAGCAGCGCTGACTACAATGCAATATTACAGCCGAAATAAAAAAAATTAAAAACAAAATTAATTCTTCTAATATAATCTAGAGTTTTATTCTGTTTCTGTCAAGAGGGCTCTTTAAATAAAATATTTTTCCGACAATGAGCGATTTTTTGCTTTAAATTAGATGATTAAAGGTTAAATATCTCAAAATTGTTTAATCCAAGTGGAAATTTCATAGTTTTCTAGGTTTATATATATGTTTTTTTTTTAATTTTTCATTCTCTTAGGATCAAAATACAGATAAAAGATCAATAGAAGTAAAGTAATTCCTATAAATTAAATTCATATGTGTAACTCCAACAAAATTTAATAGATAATAATCAGAATAATGTGTTTCAAAATGATCAAAATTTTCAGTAAAGGGTGATTTATTTTGTGTGTAGGATGTTGAAAAAGTGTTTGAAAAGTGGTCAAGAGTTTGGCTTTCGCGGTTTTATGGTCGCGGCGGAAACTCTTTCACGCGCGCTCGAGGGTTGCTCGTCGCGTCCATATAGATCCAGGGCTTGAACAGAAATGGGCGTGCGAAGGGATAAATCTGCGCCAGACGCAGCCCCAAGTCGAGCACAAAAATACGTATAGATAAGAGTGTTGAAACGGACGGACACCGGGGCCGGACCACATTTCGGACGCGGCCTTTTTGCAGATTGCGATCATCACTGTGTGTGCAAAAAAATGCGAGCTTTTATCGCCGGCAAACGTTTCCACGGAAAAGCGGCTTATTTGTGTATTTATTTTCAAGAGCGTGCAGTAAACCGCCCATTCAGAATTTACATAGAATTTTACGCCTTTTGAAGTTGCGTGAGAAGAGATTGAATGACCTCTCTGTAATCCAAAGCCCTTCAAAACAGTTTGTGTTGAGTTTCATATCAAAAGCAATCATCGGATGATATTGAAAATTACAACTAAATAAACTAATGTTGGAAAATAATTCCATATTATAGTTATTGCGCTGAACTAATGTGAAACGAAATTATTGAAAGAGCAAATAATCTAGTTATGTTTGGGATAAGCTGGATTTGAATAAAATGTAATCATGCATATCATAAATTTATGATTTTGCTAATTATTAGTTGGTTTTACCGTCTCAAAATTAAATTAAATCCAAAACACTAGCTTTTGGGGAAGATGTTGAAAATAGTTGATTTTGGTAACATTATTAGTTTCAACTTTTGACTAAATGTGAGTTTTATTTCCAAGATACTGATAAGTCATGAATTATCAACCAAAACACTCTATTCCTTCATTCATTCATGAATATAAATTTTTATCATTAAAATAGGAAAAATTCTAAAATTGAAAGGTTAGAGGAAATAATTTTTAGGATTACAAAATGCAAGTGCATAAAATTTATGAAAATTGTTGTAACATCCAAATTTATATAGACGAACAAACTTTACCAATGTTTGAAGGGAAATGGAAAGAAAAAAATTGAGGATAAATTGTGTTGATATATCATTGAAGCGGAAAACAAGTCAATATGTTGTGTTTACATATAATTATGATAGAGATCAAAGCTTTCATTCTAATTTTGGACGGATTAGATATTCGAACAGAACTCGGCCAGTTAATATTGACAAGCAATAAATATGAATTCGCAAACAAAAACGACTGACGCAATTGGTGAATAATTAATTTCCTCCCTGGCTTCACATATTGATGCAATCATCTCCTCCGTTTGCAAATACAAACTAGACAACACGTTTTCGCACAGAGAATTAATCACGGCTTTGAACTTTTGCCGAGGGCTGATGTTGCGATCACATAGTGGGTTCGCAATCAGAACCATTAGTCTGGCAAATTGATGTCACCGACAGATATAAAAAGCAATGGTTTCGGCGTTTGGCACCACCCCCGTCAGCACCCCCAATCGTTATCAGATTTGTCAAATTTTTATGTTAATATTTGCATAAATACGTTCGGCCGCCGTGACGAGAGCTTTTTTAATCAATCACAAAAGCGCCTCCCTTAATTGCGTGCCGCGTCTGCCCCGAAATATGAAATTATTTCCAATCATCACGTACGCGTATATTCGTCAATCAAACGCGCGTCCGGCCGAATTTTAATGTGACTGATCCACATTTCAATTTTGATGTAATCAAACAAAGGCGATTCGATTGCCATTTTCATTATTTTCACTACAAAGCAAATAATGTCTAAATTGATATGCTTTAATCAAATAATGCTGAAATTTCTATCCAAATATGCAAAGAGAAAAATATCAAATATCATATTTTTAATGAAATTTCTATATTTCCGCTTGAATGCCAGTTTCAAAAAGAGATTTATTTATAATTTTGGTGAATAAATTAGTTTCTTCCAGTTTCTTTTCCCATTTGAATTTATATAATATGCAAGCTTTTATTTCATCCTTTATTTAAAATTATAAGCAGGCAGAGTTTTATTAATTTACTGAACATTCCCTCTTCAATTACTAATAAACTCCTTCCTTTGTGAAATAGTGGAGACGCGACGGAATCCGCAGGATGCGTCACTCTAGTAATAATAATATATTGATCAGGAACAATAAAAATAACTCCACGCCACATCTGCTTCTCCGCTTTTTCCTTTGTCGTGTGCGCGCAAAAATATGAAATTCCTGTAATAATAAAAATCATGTGCCGGGGAGAGAGTTTAATTTGGCGCCGATATGAGAAATGCTTCTTGTGAATTTATTATTATTATCATCATCCCCCGAGGACGTTTGCCGGCGCATGATTATGCGGGGGTGACTTTTGAGCCACCCCCACTGCACTCGCGTGCGCTTTATTGCGTCAAAAAGCTGCGAGGGGTGCATCTTTTTTTGCTCTTGACGCACACATGGCGCGCTCACAATAATGAAATCGGCGCGGCACTTCATTAAAGATGCAGCCGCGCTAAATAATTTAATATCTCATATGCAGGCTTTGATTTTCAACTCGGTTGGAAAAAGGCGCAGTGAGTTTGCTGAAAGGAAACAAGAAACAGGTCAACTGCTTTTAGCATGAAAAGTTACCCACGTCATTTGATAATTTTAATTTTTCGTAATTACACTTTTGCAGGAATTTTTAATTTAAATATTATCGCCATGCAGGTCGCGCAGGAAACGAAAAACTTTTGAGTGGTTGGCAATTTTGAATTTTTACAACCTATAATTACGGGCAATAAGGAAATTTTGTGAAATATATTTAAATATATAATGAAAATAATTATTATGACGGTGAGGAATTCAAGTCATTCTTGAGAAAACAGCAAAATGAGTATCAAGAAATTTCATTAAGCAAGAGAAACTTGAAATAAAAGCACAAATTTGAATATGATTTGCATTTTTTTCCAGCCTGATTTTTGTATTTTGAAGTAAAACGAGTTTTCTCCTCTACTTGAGAACTGTTATTTTATCCCCACGTATGCAAATTTGGTTGAAATATACGATCTCTTTTATTTTTAAATTAATCATGAATATATTTTCAGAAATAACAGCAGGAAAATTTGAATAAAAATTAAAAAGCTGTAATTGTATGTAAAAAAATACTGCACCACAAATTTATTCCAAACTTTTTGCTAAGTCTCAAGAAAACCATTTCATAATACAAAATTTCTCAAAGAAGCTTCCTTTCTCTTTATGAATGTGTGGCGATTGTTCCTAAACAGACATTCTCTGCTGAAGCACTAATTAGGCTCTAAGTTTCAATGCACCGAGACATCAAAGGAATACATTTCATGCATATTAGTATTCACACGAAAAAATAAATTTCCACGAGTTGAACTTATGCTTGGGTTAATTTCGTTTGATCTCCTGCAAGCCAACTTGAAATGAGAATCTGCCTTTTCTTTTTATTAAAAAAGCAGACATTTTTTTGAATTTGCGTTTTTACGCAAAGCATTGGCCTGGGAAATCTAATTCGGAATTGCGGGTTGGCCGCCCTCATTTTAATTGGATTTATCTATTATTTATCTGCAGAGCAAGTCTCATTATTCTGCGACCGCGCGTCGGCAGGGGATTGTGAGCGCACGCAATATTTGGCAAACACCAAGTCCTCTTGTTATTATTGTCTCTGAGGGCGGGTTTATTTCTTTATTGTGTTCGTTGTCCGCGCCATTCTCCGAAATAAAAGCAAACACGCGGCAATTACACGCGCGGAGCAACAACGCTATCAAATTTAAATGGACTCGCTCTCATCCATCTAAATTATTCACGCGTCTGCCATTATCATCGTGGTAATATCCATTAACTTGTGGCGGCGGAGAGGGTCTTTATTT